ATTGTTTGCATACATGTATGTACCTTATTTTTTATGTTTTTTTTTAAAAGTTTAAATTTATTTCCTAGGTTTCAATATGCGTAGAATTTAATGCCGCAGTCCAATTTTTTTAAAACTCAACGGTTCACTTTTAATACTCAAATTACACCCATTTTTTCACTTAATTTTCATCATTTTTTGACATTTTAAATTTATTTCCTACACTTTAAGACATGTAGAAAATTAAGGTATCAACCATTTTTCCCCAAGTTGAAAACTATACCTTGAATGCTGCATTTGACACGTTTTTTTAATTAATTCCTCACTTTTTCACCTAATTGTTTGCATACATGTGTGTACCTTATTTTTTATGCTTTTTTGAAGTTTTAAAGTTGCTTCCTACATTTAAAAGTGTGTAGAATTTGATGGTAACATCCAATTTTCTTAAAACTCAACGGTTCATTCTGAATACTGTAATTATTCATATTTTTCAATTGATTTTTAAGAGCTTAATTTTCATTATTTTTTGACATTTTAATTTTTTTTTCCTACACTTTAAGACATGTTGAAAATGATGGTAACAATCACTTTGCATCAAAATAAAAACTGTATCTTGAATAATGCCTTTGACGGGGTTTTTTGATTAATTCTTACATGCTTAATTATCCTTATTTTTTGGAATTTGAAGTTCATTTCCTACACTTTGAAAGGTTTCAAAATTGCTGGCTGTATCCATTTTGCATTCAAATAAAATTTGTATACGGTACAAATTATGCAAGAAACGGGGTACACTCATGTATTAAGATTGAAGCTTGTATAAATGATTGTTACCATCATTTTGAACATGTCTTAAAGTGTGGGAAATAAATTTGAAATGTCAAAAAAGAATGAAAATTAGGCTCTAAAAATTTAAGTAGAAAAATGAGTGTAATTTGAGTATTAAAAGTAAAACGGTTGAGTTTTAAAAAAATTGGACTGCGCCATTAAATTATGCGCACATTAAAACCTAGGAAATAAATTTAAAATTTCAAAAAAACATGAAAAATAAGGTAAAAACATGTATGCATACAATTAATGGAAAAAATGAGTAGAAAAAAATAATTGATAATTAAAACTCATTTTTATGGAAAATGGTTTTCACCATTAAATTCTTCGCGCTTTGAAACCTAGGAAACAATTTTAAAAATTCAAAAAAACTCAAAAAATAAGCGGTAAAAAATTAATTTAAAAACCGTGTGTAACCGCGGAAACCGCGTGTGCTGCGCGCAGCAGAAACCGCGTGTAAACGCGGAAGAACCGTGTTTTTTTATTAATGCCCTAAATTAAACCTGAGGGGCCTGATAAATCAGGGGTGGTTAGATCCCTCAAAGGTATCGTGCTAAAAGCAGAGGATTTAGGTACCTGGTACACTGGGGCCTGTAAACAGGGGTGGTTTAAATCCCAGTAAGAAATAATGGGGAAAATCTCAAGAAAAGGGTTATTACTCACTAGTAATAATCCTGTAAGGTCTTGAGGACCTTCAAAGTAGAAACTGGAAAGTTGGAAGCGCTCAAAAAAGGTGGAATTTGGGTGCTGGGTGATCACTGGGGAGTTTCTTGAGGGTTCTTGAGACTTAATAACAGCAATTATAGTAGTAACTAGGCTAATTACAAGTGTAGGAGAGTTGTAAATGGTAAGTGAATTTCTATAAAGTATTGTAAAGCTGGGGGATCATTATTTGGGCGGTCAGAAGGCCCTTTAAATACCTGTGGAAGGCCTCAGGGGCTGCTCAGGGGAGCTTAGTAGGTCTTGAGCACGCTTTTTGGGCCATTTTGGCCCACCTAGAGACGTATCAAGGGCTGAAACCTTGGGGATAACATTCTAGAAGCTCCAAGGGGTCAAGCACAAGTTTATTTGAACCAAGAATATTCCTTGGGAGCCTGTGGGTAAGGGGTAGTCTGTTACGTGGAGCCATTACCTTGGAAATGGGCCACAGAATGTGCCAGAACTGGTTTCTGGGGCTTTTTACACGTGCTACAAACTGGAAGATGGAATATCCAGAGTTACTGTAGTATACTAGAGACTAAGGCGGCTGCGCCGCTGTACTTTGAGGATCTAATTTTTGATTCATGCCTCACAATCACCTATAAATCCAACATGAATCTTGCTTGGGCCAACCCCTCATCTGCTATATGTCAGTCTCAACACCAAGATGATTTGAAAAATTGATAGCTTCTGCCACTGGACTCTTCCTATAAGCTGGAGTGAAAAGTAAATATCCCAGGGGAAATTGATGAAATCAGTTTACAATCAATGTGTGTGTTTATGTGCATGCCTTTTTTTGCAAATTTAATTATTCAACAACATGGAAAACATATTTAATTATTCTTATCTCGACTTTTTGTATTTTGTAAGTACGTTTCTTTCCTCTATTAGGTTGGTTCACATTTGAATAAAATACTGTTGATTTTGGATAAATTTCCTGTTGCTGGTTTCAAAAATGTTTAAAAATTGGCAGATGTGCAGGCCAACTTTATGCATGCAAACTCAAAGCGCTCTGCTGTATTCACATAAAAACTTTGCTGAAATATTTCAAATGTGAACCATCCTATTGGTTATGTATCCAAAACAAGGTAATTTTAAATGATGATTCTTTGACTCTTCCTCATTCTTTTTCTTAACAATAAAACTTGACATAAACCATTTTTATGAGCTATTATCTTGGTTCAATTTTTTTCAGCAGGAAATCTCTGTGATCAGATGATTGCTATTTGTTTGTTTCTACTTTGCACATGTACATTTGTAAAATCCACCATAATATTTAACTTATCATTGCTTTTCCATTGAGTTGGATTCATTAATTGAATCAATATTGACAGTATTCTATCTGATTAACAGTATTTTAAATGAATGAGAGAGTGCAGAGATGGATGGTTGTTTTTGGGGAATATTCATGATGGCAGAGCTATGGCAGCTGGTGGGGATGACATACAGGGATAGACTTCAAATAGTCAATTCCCCTCATATCCAAATCAGCCCCTCAAACAACAAGGCAATTTTTGACTGCTTGACAGCCTTCCAATCCTTATTGCTGTTGACAAGCTACATACATCTGAAGCTCCATCCGACCATTCTGCTAGATCATCTGATCAATGTTGTTGGTCTGCCCATGCCAATGCCACTGAGGCATCCAGTGGAGACACATTACAGAATACGCCTGTTTGGAATGGATAAGCACAAATTTTGACTGTAATTTTCTTGCTGCGTCAAACGAAAGGGGGAAAAACAAAAAGGCGGGCCTAAGAAAACCAGTAGGCCCGCTAGGGCAGATAATCCCAGCCAAATGTTTTGAGACTGGGTGAGGAAATTTTTCAGCTCTCTGCGATGATAATACTGTCAGGATCAAAGGGTTGATGATTGCCGGCGTCGATGAGGAGGGAGGCATGAACTTTAAGCAGACTCCAGAAGCTCTGTCAGCCACAGAGAACATTTCACAGTACGTGAAATGTACCTAGTAACTGCAATAATAATAAATAATTGAATACTGGAAAATACTATACATTGTTGTTAAAATAATAAATAAATAAATATGTATTTACATTTAATCTTAATTCTTAATTTATATTTAATAATTCTATAAACTACTGTGAAATCCCCTTGAGTATGGTACATATAATATCACTAGGATTTCACAGAAATATCATTAGAATAAAGTATTAAAACAATGTTTATTCTTATACATTATGTACATATTTTATAAGCCATAAATAATTACATATGTATAAAGAATCAGCTAGTAGAAGCGTGAAATGGATGAGGAATAAGCTATATACATTTATCTGAAGCTTACCCATCCTTGATCACATCATCATGGCATCAGATTGCATCATAACCCTCTTGGATGGCGCCATCAGGACCCTTTTGTGCTCTAATTCAAAGCTTGCATAATTCAAAGCAGCCTACACGGGAAAGGAGCCCAAATTCTACATGCAAGACTGAATTATGCATGAAGGACATGCATTTCTCATGATCACAAGCTTGCATAAGCAGAGTTACACGTATGCAACCAACTCTACAATTGCACAGCCCCTGCACAGTAACTGTAGCCTTTTCAATTACGTGAGAAATAGGCCACAAAACTCAATTATGCATGTATGATCTCATGTCCTAGGACCTTCCACCCATGCATAGCACTACACAGCTGCAGCTCCCATCCTTACACGAAATTGTAGAGCTGCTAAGAAGCTCCCTAGTGCCCTGAGGGCCTCTCCTCTTCCCCTGAGCCCCCTGTAGAATATTTAAGGAGTTCAGATTCCTACCTTTTCCCCCCAGGAAATTCTAGTAGCATCAAACCAACACTTGTACAGTGATTATTAGTGATTCAACCCACCAATAACATTACAATCCAGCTACCTTAGACCTAAATAGATTTACTTTGCTCAGATTCAAGGCATTTCTACTTATCTCTATTGCATAAAGAATTATCCCCCAGGTTAAACAATTCTGGTCCTTAAGTGTTGATACACTTATTAATCTAGATTGTTGTTAAAAGACTAATCCCAAGTGAGTTGAAGAAGTCCTCACCTTGGAAGCCTATTAATCCATACAAGAGGATTGATCCGGATGCCCAATTGAATAATTGGATGAGTCAGCAGTAGAAGTACCATTCCTCACTGACTCCTCCCTGTTTCTTTTACAGGTTGAGGGATTTAACCACGAATAAACCTTCTCAATTACTCTTCTTGTTAACACTCAGAGCACAACCCTTACAGGTTAGTAGCATAGAGGCTGACAAGCTCACTCCGAGTTGGAGAGTGATTGATCGGGTGCGTGAGAGGAGTTGGAGTGGGTCGGAGAGGATATAGGGGATGATGATGGATGCTTGCAGCAGTGGAATAACAAGGGAGGAGGGAAGAATAGAGGGAGCAAGAGACAAACCCAAACTTGAGCGCAAGTTTTGATACCCAAATTTAGCTTGTCGAGTAGTTCATGTTTGAGATGATCCTTAATGATCTAATTCTGGTCTGATCTATCATATCAACTCAGATACCAATTGGGAGGGGTGGTTGAGGAGGGAGCGTATCGAGTGGCTTGGCCATCATTTCTTCTTCGACCATTGACTGAGACCTGTTGGGTGCAGCCGCAACGGTCGCAACAATCGTCGCCTTCATCGCAGCATCAATCACCTCTCCATCTCGGACTTCTAAGCTGGGAAAGCGCCGTACGACTTCAAAGAGATAGTTGTGCAGACCCATCTGCTGTTGAAGGTGTAATCCCTGTAGAAGAGAATACAAGCAGCAATGGCATCAGCAGTGATGTGCCTGCTGCCACACCTGCTGAGCATGGTGTATCAGAAAGCAATAAAAGAAGTAATGCGCCAGAGGACTGGAGCATTCCCTTTAAGAAGAAAAAGTAATTCTTTAATTTCATCTTCTGAAAGCAAAAGTTTACTTTCCCCAGAAGAAAGTACACCAGTACTTTCCTCCTGGATAAAATGTCTCATGGAGCTTTCTCCACAAGAAAGCAGGCTGCTGAGACCAATGTCTTAGCAGCAATATTCTTGTATAAATATCAGTTCCCTTTTCCCCCATTTTGTATCTCTCATCCATTCACTTCATCATCTTATCTCATCTTACACACTTATCCACTCACTTACACACACACATACACACACACACCCATACCCCCATCATCAACTCACAACAACTACCACCAATACCTTTGTACCCTTTCCACTCTATTATATTAGAGACTCATCAAATAAAATTCCCTCAAATCAAACCCCCCAACAACAACATCTGCCTGTCCTTCTTGGCATGCGTTCGGAGCGGGTTGCCCATCAGGATCAGCTTGCGTAGACTCGTGAGGCCAGACAAGCAGCCGTTTATTATCCCGCTGTAAGACTCAAAAAGTGGTTGTAAGACCCTTTTTGCTGAATGGAGAAGGGGATGATGGAGTGTAAACTCTGCCCTTCTATACTATCAGATAACAAGACCCACCAAGCTCAGCTTGGCAAGTTTTAATCAAGTGATAGGGTAAAGTTCAGGAATGAGTTTGTGTGATGAAGAGTTGTTGATTTGGTTTGGTTGGCGCTTTAAAGTGTTTGTGTAAGGGTGGTCAAATATTGCTTGAGTGTTACTTGACTGAGGATTAAACAACTGGGAGGAGACTGAGAGCCTCCTTATATATACAACAGTGAGGGAATTTAGCTCCAGGGCAGCCAGTAATGAGTGATTTTGGCTGGCCTGGGTTATTACATGAGGTATTTTTAGCTACATACAACATTTGAATGGGTGAATGTGATTGGTCAGACATGTACAAGAGTTGAAGTGGTGATCCAAGCAGCTGAATGAGTGATTCTGATTGGTCAGGTTCTGATGTGTTTACAAGTGAGTGTGGTGGTGTAAGCTGCAGCTGTCATGCATGGAAAATACACTAATTTAGGCTGCAGGTATGATGTAATATGTAGAAGTGAAATGTAAAGAGTGTAGATGTATGTAAATGAGTGTATATGTAAATGAGTGTGTACTGTACTGAGGGTGTCTGTGTAGCTTGAGGGTTGTAATTGGGTTTGGTGATATCACTTGAAACATAACTTCATATCCCGCACTGGATGTGCAGTAAAATAAACCTGGATATGTAGCATTTTTATATTTTTTTTGTTCACCTCTTCACACCATTTTTTTTTAAAAAAAAAAACACTGAATATCCAGTTTTTTTTACTCCATATCCAGTACTGGATATGAGGTAGTGTTGAAAGTGTATGTAATGATGGGTGAAATCCTTGTGATATGTTGTCCAGTGTTGGGTAAGAGTTGATCCAGGTGTGTTCCAGTGACGCCTCCGTGGTGACCAAGGGTGAATTTGTCTGTAGAGTCCAGTTCTTGAGCCGTATGGTGTGAGTTCTGAGAGAGATTGGGTGATAATATGAAGAAAATATAGATAAGAAAAAAAAGAAAGAAAAAAACTTTGAATTTTCACATTTTTGACTACCACACCGCCGTGTCCAGTCGTTGGTGAGAGTGCATTGAGATCAGAAAACGAGCCGAGTTGGTTTCCGGCTAGAGATAGATTGGCTAGTTCCAGGAAAGTCGCGACCAAACTACTGATAGACATGGGCTGTAGACTCTGTAGTTAGTTCTCTTCCAGAGATATTGATCGGACCTGGTAGAGAGAATAATTTCAATTTATTCAGAGATGATGATGTTTGGACAGATCTCTTTGCAGAGCTTCCAGATCGCTCCAGCGGTGCGAGGGGCGCCTTTTTGACCGGGCGCGGCAATTTGACTTTATCCTGTTCCATATTCTGATAGAATGAGAAATCAACAAAGAAAGAATGTGTTGTCTGGAATTTGGCTGTCAATTACCTGGTGTGTTTCTATTTATATAATCAAACGATTCCAAGGAGAAAACAAATCAATAACCTGCCTTTTTGGTGTTAGCTTGGTGATAACTCTCACCTCGGGATCTGGTGTTAGCTGAGATTTGGCATCCTGAACCCTTCCGTAGAATTTCCCTTTGTTTTCAATTCCTTTGCTCTAGATTGACTGGCCGGTTGTGTTTTATCTTTTTTGGTTTTTTTCTTAAAGAAGTGATACTAAAGACTGGATAAGAATTAAATAAGACAAGCAACAGTTCAGCTTGAGAACAAAGGTTCCACCCTCACTCGAGAGACCATCTCTGGCCTCTTCTCTCGCTACAGGAGATCATCAAACCAAGATCAAGACACACTGACATTCGAACAGGTCATCTCATTGGCTGTCTAGAATCCAAACTGATGAAACCCGATCATGAAAGAAATCGGATTGATGCTGAAGATGAACAGATCGGTGTTTGTCTCAGTGCAGTTCCAACCAAAAAAGAACTCCACGACAAAAACCGGAATGATTAGGGCTCTCCAATTGCTGATCCCATTTCATTGCCAACATTTCCATTGGTTTCAATCAGCTTCATTGGACACAATCCCATGTATGTCACCAAAAACCCTTCCCAAACCGATTCAGTAACCAACCTGCCATCTAGCACAAACCTGGATGAGATCAGCAGTTATGATCCACCCAGTCCAACCCAAACTCAAACTCGATATAGTTGTACAAGATAGGAGAACTGGGAAGTTGATTGAGGAGAAGATGCAAGTGTACGTTCGGTTAAGGATTAAATTGATGTATAAACCTGGGTCAGGTAGCTCAAAAGAGAATCAAATGGAACACCAAAAGATTAAGAAGTTGTTGAAATCATTGATGATCAGACAAGGGAATAAGTTCAACTCACCCAACTCAATCAAAGAAATTTCACCCTTCATTAACTGCTGAATGAATGTAACAAAGGATGGGCTGATAATAGAACGCAACTGAACGCGAGTATCCCTAGTGAGTCACTTATAGAAGCTGTGAAGTAGATTACTCCCCTCCGCATCAATCAATACCTGTTTTGAGCGACTTACTGTTGTGTATCTCTTCTACATTTACGATGGGTGCTCATCTCAGGAATGGCCAAAACCTCTCACACAAGCTCCAACAGCAATACCGCCTCAGCCCAGCAGCCGAGGACCGGCTTTGAAAGCTTAGAGAGCAGTGTCAGCCTCTGGGTAACTAACCTGAGTATTTAATAGTAAAAAGGTTGTTACTATGAGTTGACTGAAGTTTTTGAGCGTGGTGAGTGTTAGGTAGTGGGTGATTAATACCAGTCCTGTAAAGAGGAGGTTTCACTCTATCAGTATGGTCTTTACTGAGAGGCTTGCTATCAACAGCGCATCCGGATCAATACAAGGTATTAATAGGCATCCAGGGTACTAAGACTCACCCGGGATTGATTTGGTTATTCCCAAAAGGGAATGGGCTAACAATACTTTATTAAGCTTTAACAAAATTAGTTGAAGATTAACAGGTATTGTTGATGGGAATATTCAGCAAGGCTATGAATACTGTGGATAAGTTGAGTAAGAGTACTGAAGCTTAAGAACAATAAATGTAGACTAGATTTATGTTGGTTACGTGTACTGTATCAATATAAATGTTAACTGGTTTAACTGGTGTCTGAATATTCTGGGGATTAATCAGTGAAAGAGGCACGGATTATAAGTTCCAGAATATTGAAGGAGGGAAAGAATGAGCGCTCAGAATCAAGGGAGCTTTGGCCAGGAGAATGAGCACATCAATTGAGTGACTGATCATTATTTGTCATGATCTGTAAGTGACATCATAATTGTGTACTAGTTGCTCTTGATGCGTGTACTTAACAGATCCTCTAATAATGTAGTCATAATTGTGATCAGAGCATGTATTGAATGTATTAATTCTATTGACACTTAATACTTACTATTTAATACATGTACATAATTATTTGTAATAATATTTGACCGTGAAAATACTGTAGAACAGGGATAACTTGTGGTACAGGTATTTCACGGACAAAGGAGTGAAAGGTAAGTGATAATTACTTATGTAGAACACAGGTATGTATTTAATAGATAAGTAATTAACAGATAAGATAAATGTAAGATAAATAAGATAAGTTAATAATAATAATGATAAGATAACAAGAGGTAAAGGTAATCAACATTATGGATAAGTACTTATGTACATAAGTACAGGTGTTGCAGTTACTTGGTGCATGAATGGTACTGTGACATGTACTCTGTGGCTGACAAGCAGCCTCCCCCCGATAAACAAGGATACGCTCCTACGTCCTCAAGCCCAATGGCCGGCCCAAGACCAGGGAGTGTCCCCAGCGCTGATCAATTTGTGAGCCGCTTCCATAGCTCTGGAATCCAACCAATTGACGCCAGTACCTCACCTGATTGACCGAGAACAAATGCCGTTCTTGAACAACTACACGGACAGACCCCCTCATCCTCGTCCTTTCATGACAACCTCGTTAGCGAATCAAATGGAGGACGTCAGACAAACCACCACCCCGTCTCAAGCCCCCTCTCCGTTCATTCAGACCCGACCACAGGAACAAGAGCACACCGAGATAGTGGTGGACAATGCGGACCTAGATATGTGGTTGAACCTATTCAACAACCAATTCTTCATGTTCGCTCGAGCTCAGGAGACTTCGAACGTCAGGGACATGCGGTTCATTCTAACTCAAGCTGCCAAGACCCAAGACAGGATCCTCGAGATAGTGGAAAGAGAAGAAACAATCCGTCTCAGAGAACTGGCACCCGAGAGAAGAACTAGCTCTGTTTATGACAGGTTGTCTCTGCCATAGTAGCAAGCTGACAAAACATGATTAATTTTAAAGTTGAGATAGATGGGTTTTTTGGGGTTGAGAAGAAAAGAGGCGGAATTCCAACAGTCTGGAGTCTGAAAATCCTCTGGAAGAGGAATCAACAAGCTCAGAGAGGATTTTCAAATTTGTATTACGTAATACTAGCATGTACATGTGGTAGAGGGAGCTGAAACCTAAGGGCTTGTGTAATTCTTGAAGTACTGTGAATTATTACATAGTCAATGGAGGAATGGAGTTGAGTAAAAGTGATGAGTGGTGACTAGGGTTAATTTTACTCCAGGAATCAATTTCTGAATTCAGAAAAGTTGAAATTCTTGAGATAAAAAGGATGTGATAATGTTTGGAATAGAAATGGGCAATTTTGGCCAGCTTGGCTGGCTCTAAGTATGACACTCCTGGAGGGGTGGGTTCTTCTTCCCACCCCTTGGAAGCCTGTTTCCTTGGAAAAACAGGCTTCCAAGGGGCAGGGGCGTGGGCAGGCGGGGAGGGGGGGGATGTGCAATTATCAATGCACTTTATGCAGTTCTCTGCATCCGAAATTTCCCCAAGGAACTTTCTTTTGCACCCTTAGTGTCATTTATGGGGCAGATACCTGCCAGCGGATGTCTGATTCCGCTTAAATTGTGAGTGGATATCCCGATGTGTCAAGGCCATCTCTAGCTTCATCACTGACATTGGAAATCTATCTAAATTCACAAGTCTTGTACCCCCCAGTCATAAGCTCCTATTGTTGATGTTGATCAAAAAAAATTCCTTACTTTTCTCCGTACCTTCCTCTGATTTCCTGCTTTTGTCCCTCTTCTCATTTTAAAATCCACAAGGCACTTGTTTATAACCACACCCTTTTGTAAATCCAAATTTGGCCTCATTAGAATATTATAACATTTTGTCCCTTTTTCCATTCAGAAATTTGAGTTCAGAAGGTTGAATAACCACTGGGAACTTTCCACAGTAATTGCATCAAGAAAATGACTGAGTATGTCAAAAATTAAAAGGCAAAGAAATCATTTTTATGCAAAATAATTATTACCATTAAATTCTACACCTTTCAAAGTGTAGGAAACAAATTTACAATGTTGAAAAACAATGAAAAACAAGCCATTAGGTGGTATCAAATATAGAAATCTGCCATTAGAAATCAGTCACTTTTCCAAAAAAATAATTTTGAATGTTTAAAAAAGGGTGGATTTTTTCAAACCAGTCAATTAATTAATGGTGGATTTGGTTATATTTGATACCCCCTATTAACAATTAATTGAAAAAGTGAGTGAGCAAAAAATGTCATTTTTATGATAAATGGACTCGACCATTAAATTCTACACCTTCCAAAGTGTAGGGAAAAAAAATTAAAATTTCATAAAAACTCGAAAAGTAAGCTGTAAAAAATCAAGTAAAAAACAGTGTCCCAACGCAGAACCTGCGTGTACTGCATGCAGAAAAAACCATGTGTAAACACAGAAAAACCAGGTTTTTTTATTAAGGCCCTTTATTTATTCATATTCATTTTTGGGACCTATTCTGCACGGCTTGACCAAGTCTTGTGACTTCAAGCTTATTTCTTGAAGCTCTGGAATCAATTCCAAAAACAAGCAGCCAAAAATAACATGTCACCCAGTGTACAACTGGTGCCAAACTCTAATATATCCAGATCCAAAACCTGATCAGACGGTATTTCCAGCACCCAAATTTGCTAGATCAAATTTGAGGGCCACTTAAAGTCAGTTGATATATCTGGTCACTTGAAGCTAACAGGCTAAGCAAAAGCACTACCTATGAACTATAACTGGGCTGCTGATTCTTTTGATTTTCAAGTTGCTGGATGTGATCTGTGCCCATGAACTGGTACCACAAATCTAGCATTCACTTCCTAAGTGATGTGTACTAGTCTGTAACCAGTGGGCCTATTATTCTGTACTCTCAAGTGTTTTGGCCACTGGCCACAGAATCCAAAACACATCAGCAGGGTGTGGACACTATAAATCTTTGATTGGGAGTTCAAGGCTCTAGTACCTTAAGATTGAAGGGTTTTATCCTAAATGTGACATTCTGGCTGTTTGCCACAAAAAAATGTTTTTCTGTTGAGAAGAATGAATCCATTAGGTTTGGCAAGAAGAGAAGTGATCAACAGAGCCATGAGTCCATCTCCTTGAGGAAGATTTTCCTGAATGGTTTGATGGAGCAAACACAACATGAAACTCTAGAAGGTGTTCGATATGTTTTGATAAGGGTTAGAAGGTGTTCACTACAGTTCAGGAGTGATATCAGGATGGTTTTTTTATGTTTCTATGTGGGGGAAAGGGGGAATCCAAATGCGGAGGGGGGCATGGTTCTTTTTTTTCAAACTCTTGTGTTTTTTTTATGTAAGTCTTTATCATTTAAATATGTAACGAAATTGGGGTGTTCAAAGCACAAGGGCACACAGGCTATCCATTTTTGTTCTAGCCCCTTCCCCATAGATTGAGTGAGCTGATGAAATAATATGGGTTTGGCCGACCATCGAGCCGGTGATTGACTTTGAAGAGGTATTGGTGAAGGGGGCAATGCCCAGATCGAGGGCGGTTGATCAGCGCGGTGTAGACGATCGGGCGGCCGGAGATCCTCTGCCTCAATTCTTTCGCTGAGGTGTGCTGAAGTTTCTGATCCAACGTCGGGGGGCTCTGGCATCCGCTGATCCGGGCTGGTGTTCCTGGATGGCATGCCCATGACATCACACAGTTTCAGCTGGGTATGTATCTGATTTTTCGGATGACAAAAACTGCCCAGGTTTCGCTAATCCCCAGTCCTCTAGGCCTTTCACCGGTCGATATTGTTGTCGGACTGAATGTTGGCTTACGTGCACTTCTATTTTCACCGATCCGGCGCAAAGTCCTGCTGAAGAGGGCCACGCGGGACTTGATTATCTCCGGATGAATATTTGATTTAATTTTGACCACCATTACGTATTTAGGGCATAATGAAAAAGACCAGCGCTGGAGCGGCAGGTAAATCTAACCCCGCGAGCCGCGCTGCCCAAGCGACCGAGATGAGAGGGCGAGGTTCGCCGATCTCATTCTCAACCAAGTTCCGTTTCGACGGGCAAGTCGATACATATCCTGGCCCTCTCGACTCTCCGCTTTCTGTCGGAAGGCGATGGGGCTTGTGTGAAGCTCGTGGGACAGCAATGCTTGAGATATTATTTACATTCCTTGAGGCTTATAGCCGCTTTCCATCGAACATAAGACTCTCCTGCCTTTTTGCATGGATGGAATACTTAAATCTTCATCTTGCATGTAAATATGTATGCACTCATCTAACAGCATCTAAACCAGTGGAACCCTAAACGTCCAGATTGTGTTCACTGACATGTATGATCGACTAGCGACCCAAAACAGATCATCCACAAGTTCAGTGAAGGCGTTGATGGAGGGTTCCAAGAAAGGGAAATCATGAGTGTTGCTCACCAATGTCCATGTGCATATCTTGTGGGAATGCGGCCGGTAAAACCTCAACTGTATATTTATTTAAATATAACCGACTCGAGCTCATGTTCAATTTAATCAGCGATATTGGTAATGCAAAGCAAGTGGGCACAGCGCGCTCGGCTGGTTCGGAGAATGTATGGACTCGGGCTGTGTCTTGAGCAGATTTTCTTCGGCTCTGCCAGTCTGCCATGCTCTCTCTCTGGGGCCAATATGTGTCCGGCCTTGCTTTCTAATCGGGTCCTCGCTGTGCGGCTTCCCTTGTGAGCCATGGCTATAAAGCCAGGGAGCCTTCTTCCAATTTGCCGGGGGTTTTCCGCTTGTTCCACTCTGATCACATTTCTTATCATCCACTTGTTGTTGTCTTCTCGCCTAGGGTAGAGTAGAAAGTGCTACACGCTCATCAGGCTAAAATTCCATCCTCGCCATCATGCTCGCCAGCAGCAACCACAGTTCAAGTCTCAAGTCATATAGTTCTCTTTCTGTGGCCCAGTTGGAGTCCGCTGAAGTTCCAGCCGCATCGCTGGATAACCCATGTATGCCAGAGTTTCATTCCAAAACCTGGGACTTGCCCAACCGGCCAATGGAGTGATGAGTGACTGACCAGATAAACCGATGAATTAACTATACAGGTGAGAAGTCACCGCTTTGCGGAAATAGAGAAACGAACTCAGAATCAAGCTCCATCTCGGACTCAGAATCAAACCACGGACATGACTCACATACGGAGTACGACTCGCATTCGGATTCCAGCCCTACAGTGATCGATCATGGTGTTGATCATACGGTCATTGATCTTGAAACCCAGTACGAACACTCGCGCGAAGGTCCTCATGAAAACAAGAAGGTTGACAAACACGCGTCTTCCACCCCATGGAAGCACGAGTTTGAAGACAGCCACCCATACATTGCGCCAACCATAAACCGGTGGACCATGTTAATCACCTGGTTTACGCCTTACAGACAGCTCTTCGTCTTGACGTTTACTGTCAATTTGATCGGGGCAATTCTGGAGCTTTCGGGTCATTGGGCGTGGTCGAAAGATCATGTGACTCCCTTAGTGGTGGGCAACGTCCTGATAGCCATCGCCATACGGAGCGAATGGGTCCTTCGCTTTCTATATTGGGTGACTGTCAAGACTTTTCGTCCCAATGTCTTTCCGCTGTGGCTTAGGGTTAAAGTTGTCGGCATTCTGTACCACATTGGTAAGCATGTCCATAAAATCGCATTACGCCATCCACGCGAATGGAATTAAAGCATGTGGAAATTCACTTGGGCGGAAACAAAACAAATGCAAAAATGATGCTGACTTAACTTTCTCCCATTTTTTTTTTTCGTTTGGTATCCAATTAGGCGGAGTGCATAGCGGTTGCGGGCTGTCTGCCTTGCTTTGGCTTGTTGTAGCTGCCAGTGCTGAGTTCCAACAAGCACATCTGCACCATGTTACCTCCTTGGTTGCCCTTGGCATCTGTCTGGCCTGCGTCTCCCTAACTTGCTTATCCGCTTTCCCTTTTATTCGCGGACGCTTTCACAAGTGCGTTGAAATCAGAGAACCAAATGAGCGCTTTTCAGTCAGTTGACATTAATCTGTTCGCATTTTCCATAGTGTGTTCGAGATGATCCATCGTTTCGTAGGCTGGTGAGAATTTCAGAATTGATTTGGCATCCTGTCATCTAATCGAGTGGATGAGGACCTCTCCTGAATTTTGACAAACCAACTTCTTTTCAGGATTGGGATTGTTTTTACTGTCTTGTATGTAATCTTGGAATCCTTATGGGACGTAGGGGAGCAGCGCTGGGACCCGAGAGCCTCCAGGCTAATGACAAAACCTGAGCTATGGTTTTTGGTCACGATTTTCATCATGTAAGTCTTCTCTTTGTTTGTCGAAACTGTTTTCATGAAATATCTCGCCTGACGATAATGGTTCCTTCTGTGAGCAGAATTGTCTTTTCGTGGATCACAATCGCGAAAGTTCCTGTCACTGTTTATACGGTAAGAAAGGTTCAATTACATGTTGATTGGTCTGGATATATTCTGAAAGTTATTGCTCGTGCTTACAGAGCTCAGATAAAGCATCCGTTATCAGAGTGCCCGGCGGCCTGACATCTGGGTTGCATACACGGATATCGGTGGGTGGTTTGCGCGAGTGGCACATCTTTGGATCCATTAGGTATGTGAATGAATTAGTTCAGATATTTTGGGCTCAAGATTTATTGGTGAATTGATGGTTCGACGTGTTTTCCAGCGAAGGAAAAAATGCCGAGTACCATTACATTGTAGCCGCCGTACAAGGGGAATTCACAAAAATGCTGAACGTTGACAAGCCTGTTACGCTATACACAAAGCGCTGGAAGGTTCGTTAAGTCAATCGTATCAGGAAAAATGACTCACTGCTGCACCCAGCAGCACTTAGCTGATAGACCAACTTTCCCTTTCGTAGCCATGCGGTCTTCCCTATTTCTCTAGACTTTTCAAACGGGGACTTGCTATGTGCACAGGCTCTGGGATCGGAGCTGTCGCCTCGACATGCATTCAACATGATAACTGGTTCCTGATCTGGATTGGTCCTAATTTGGAAAAAACTTACGGCAAAGAAATCATGCAACTGATATGCGATCGGATCCCAGAGAGCCGCCGGTTGATATGGGATACACGGGGACCATTGGGCCGACCGGATGTTGTACGGCTCCTACAAAATACTTACCTATATTGGGAAGCTGAAGGTACGCAGACTTATAACCCGAGTCTACCAGGCGCTTTCAAGATTCTTTGCGATCTCACCTTATTGAATTTTTGAATCATTTTTCGAACAGTGACCTTGTTCGTCGGAAGTCCGGAGATGAACAGCAATGTGCTTCAAAGCTGTCGAGCTCTCAAAACACCAGTCTTTGTGAGTAGCAACCTTGTCTTCTGAAACTCTCTCAGGGAAACCAGAAACCGCAGACTGAAGCCTCTCGTGGAATGTGCAATCAAACATTGGCAGGGCTCTATATGGGACGCATGAGGAGCGCTCGGCAAGCTGAATAGCTTTCAAAACACCGATCTTGCTAAGCCCACCAGGCTGGACAACGTATTAGGTGACGATGAACCATCTTCTAATCATGGAGTTATTATCATCGATGGACAGTTGCCTATGGACCTTTTTCACTTTTTCTGTCGAAATTCTTATTTGGAGTCATATCCCATCTTATAATCCTTGATGCGCAACACATCCTTCTATAATTATAATCGCCCTGTACCACTCGTATTGCTTGTCTGTATTTATTTTTCACTAGTGTATTTTGTTCAGTATATAGAGGAAAAGTGAGTAGTAAATAGTAAAACAAGACACCAAGGAGCTCGACAATAGCCGTTAGACAAACGCGCAGAAAAACAATAATAATTAACACGTGGAACTCTCTGACGAAAGCAAGAGGGTGTGATCGGAACAGGCTGAGGAAAACATCGAAGAGAAGTCCTATATATTTCAGGTTTCTGGGAGCAAATTGAGGAGGCATGAAAGCTGAGGGTAAGATCAATGAATTGAAAGTTCAGATTTCTTCAGGGGGTTGATGATGACCAAGGCAACAACTAAAGCAGAAAAAAACACTATCCATGTCAAGGAATCTCAAGACAGCACCTGCGCCCTCTAAATTGCATACATTTGTGCCTTTACACAGTTTTTTTCATTGGCAGGACTATGTCCTAATAGAATGTTCTATGAGAGCATAACCCTTCTAAGGGTATATCGACTAATGGGTTCTCCCCAGAAATATACCTGCCCTTTGTTGTAGCAAGGAGTAATCCTGATCTTAGGATTGGCAGATTACTCCATACTACCATGTAATACCAGTAACCTGAGTATTACATAAGTCTCGCCGAGAGTCACAGTCTCCTGTAGTAGAATATATAAAGCATGTAACAAAAGCATTTCTATCTTTCTCTCTCTATCAAAATATATCATCCTTTTGTCAGACCATGCTCTTTTAGGTTATGAGCCTTCTCGTTTGAAGAGCTTCTTTTCTCGCCTGTGTGGCCCCTTCTTCCTTTTTTTCTTTTTTTGTTTTTGCCTGTGTGGCACTGCTATCTTTTTTTCTTTTTTGCCTGTGTGGCGCTGCCATCTGTTTATCACCTATTCGTCACCGTATGGTTCTTTTAGTCCTTTTTTTCTTTTCATTTGACAATTGCTCCTTATCTCCGTGATGATTCACAATTCCTCGTCTGCCTCCTCTGGTCCCTACTTTTCTTTTGTCCTTTTTTTGTTTCCCGCATTGCTTTTGGTCTCCCTGTTCTCCACTCTCCTCCCATTCACCCTTCACAATTTTTTACTATTATCTCTTTCTATTCTTCTGAACCTTGGCTCGTCCCTTCTTCTCCTCATTTATTCTCCTGCCTGCTTCCCCACAAGAGACCAAACTTCCTTTGCGATGCCCCTTGTTCGCCACTCTCCCGTTAGAGGCCATGCCGCCCTCACCCCTGGTTCTTTGGATGATGGCGCTGGCGATGCTTCTTTTCACAATGATACTTTGTTGGATGACCAACATGATGAGGAAGCCCATGGTGATCAGCAACCACATGCTGATGACCGGAATGTCAACACCCGCCGCCAACACCGCGACCCTTCTCCCCATCTCCGTGGCCGCCCGGTTGATGATCAGCGTCTCATGGACGACCAGCGCGGAATCAACTCCATGGTCAATAATGCTATCCCAGGAGTTTGGCTCCAGCAAACTTTCTGAAGGCTGACGGTTGGAACTTTCCGCTCTTGGACTCGCAACATTGAAATGATCTCCCTCAGCTTCCTGCAGGACAAGGATTTCTTCAACTCTCCCTGTGCTCGACCCAGGATGGAACCGGCTGGCCGAAGAATCCTTCTTGGTGTGATTGACAGTTCCCTGAAGCACAAACTCTACTCCAAAGACTCCAGCTACAAGATGATGGAAGCCATCAAATCTCGTTTCAGCTTGGTCAGCAAGGCTCTTATGCTCACGAAATGGCGCGAGCTCCTCCGGTGCGGTGGCGGGAGCGCGCCTTGGCCAAAGCTTTGGCCGGTTTGTTTGGGGCATGCGGAATGCTCGTGGCGCTGATGCGGAAAGCACGCGGAGCTGACGCTACACAGGCAGGCTGAGGAAAGCGGCGGTGCATTAGTGGAAAGTCTAGCTTTCCGAGGCGCGGGAAAGCGGAGAAAAGTAAGCCGAATGCACAAGGTTCTGAAAAGCTTACTGCGGGGAGTCCGGGCATCGGCGGACGCCGGGGATCACGGCCGACTGCGGAACGGGGGTTCAGGGTATACTGCGGAGGGGCTACAAGGAGCGGGGAGCATCGAGGGGCGGAAGCGGGGTTCGGAGCGGACCAGAGGCGGAAGCGGCGGTGGGAGACCTACTTACGAGCGGCCGGAGGAGTACCTGGACCGACAGGCGTCGGAGGGGTGACACGCGGAGTCCGAGGGGGTGACAGCGGATGACAGCGCGGGAAGTAGGAAGAGACTGAAGTGTGAGAAACTGAGGAGTGGACTTCGAGGCAGAAGAGGGGGGAGAGAGGGGGACTCATGACTCAGAAGAGATCGGAAAAAGAACAGAGTGACTTAGGAGTGAATCGTGTATTAGCCTAAAGAATTGTTAGAGATAGATTAGAGTTAGAGTATTACCTACAAAGAAAACAATAAAGAGTGTTATTTTACCTACCTACAAGACCATCAAGCAAGTTACCCCGGACAACAAACCGGAGCAAGACGCGTTGCGGAGCGGAGAGGTACAAGAAATACCCTAGGGCGCGCCTTTCTTTCCACACCGGATTCAGGTTGATATGACCTCAAACCCCGCCAGTGTAGCCACTCAATATAAAGCCATTGTTGACGAGCTTGGAGATATGGGTGTCTTTCTGTCGTACGACAATCTCCTCCCTCTTGTACTTCACAATTCCATTCCTCAGGGCTCTACTCTCCGTCTGGAATTCGACAGGAGAATTGATGCAGAGTTTGCGTTAAACGGTTGCCAAGTCATCTCTTTTGAGAAAACTTGGCACATCCTGAGCGAAGCTATCTGCCAGGTCCGTGTGGTCGACTCCCTGGACAATCTTCATGGACTGCCTCATGTCATGGCGGCTGAACAGGACACCACTCCTCGTGAAGAACGCTCCCCTTCTATTGTCAGTCACCCCGACAATGTCTATGCCATGGCCAGTGCTCCCCAGCACAACCGTCAAATCTTTTTCCAGTGCCGGTCCCCCAATCATCTGATCGGTCAATGTACCGCTCCCGACCCGGCACGACAGTCCACAGCTCAACCGCCACGTGGACAACCTCCCACTGGACATTTCCCTCCTGGATTCCAGGCGTACTATCCAATCATCGCCCCTTCCGGTGCAGTTCCGATGTACTATCCTCCTTGCCCGAACCAGTTGAACCCCAACTCCATCCCCGTTCAACGTGGCCGCATGGATTCCTACCGCCCTCAATATGGTCAGCCTCCCAACCGCCCAACCGCCCAACCGCCCGAGCAGCGGAGGTTGCTACTTCCCCGGCCGACCCTTCCTTCAACAACCTTGAATGCTCCGCAAACCCTGCGGGCAACTCCAACCCTCAGGCTTCACTGTTTGACACTGGTGCCTCCCACCATCTGACTGGTGATAAGTCAGCACTGTTTAATGTTACTGTTTTATCCTCTCCAATCCCTTTGAAAGTGGCCACTGATGGTAATTCTAAATTTATCACAGCGCAGAGGTCCATGGCTTTTACTGGGCCCAATGGAACGAGGGTGATTCTTGAAGACGTGTTGTACTGCTCATTTGCCAATGTCACTCTCATCTCACCGGCTGCTCTTTGCCTCTCTGGTTTCCACTTCTCTTACGACTGCTCATCCGATAGTTTCTTAGTTTTTTCTGGTCATGTTTTGTGGGCTGTCTGCCGTTTCAATCCTCAAACTCGCAAATGGTCGTTTCCTTCTCCTCTTTGTTGTTCTTCACCTTCGGTTTATTTTGCTTCCCCAACCTTTAATACTGCTCCGATCTTTCCTTCCACTAGTTGTACTGCCCCTAACCCTAATACTGTTGTACCCCAACCGCCATCCTTTCGCGCTGCGGACACCCTCCCTGATAATGAACCTTTTTTGGTTACTGTTCCTGAACCTCGTGGTTCAGATTGGCAAGCCCCCTCCTTAACTGCCAGTGAGAAGTACTTGTTATTTCTACATAAGAAATTTGGTCATGTGAGCCTTCGGAATCTTAAACGCATGATGAAGTTTAACATGGGTTTAGGTCTTCCCAGTAGCCTCCCGCCCGGGAAGGTACTCTGCTCCTCTTGCTTAATCGCCAAAAGTAAGATGGTCCCGACACTGCAAAAGGAGGGTCGTGTATTCAACAGACTAGAGGTGTTAACCGTGGATCTTGTTGGACCGTTTGAAGTGCCTACGATGACTGGAGGCCGATATCTGTTGACGATACGAGACATTGGTACGGGTTATAACGAGGTTAAAATTCTGGAACTGAAATCAGACGCAACACTCCTACTCATGGAAACAACACAAAGGCTGGAACAATCTACGGGCTTATTGGTGAAGATTGTTAGGTAGGACAATGGGGGAGAGTTTAATGGGAAGTCACTCGGTGATTTTTTGAAAAACAAGGGTATCATCGCAGAACGAGCGGTAGCTTACCATCACTACCAGAACGGTGTTATCAAACGCTTCAACTGAACCCTACAAGAAACAGGCAGGACCCTCCTGGTTGACAGCGGACTACCTAAGGCCTTTTGGGGCTTGTATTTTCAATGGGCAGGTATGGTACTAAACCGGATACCAAACAAAGCTAGCGGAGATATTACACCATACGAGAAACTCTTCAACCGGAAACCGTTACTTGATATACTTAGGCCTTTTGGAGCAAAGGGTTTTGTACATGTCATGGAGGACCATCGACAGAAACTGGATGATCGGGCACTTGAAGGCATACTTGTGAGCTGCCTGACTGATAGTCGTGTTTGGTGCTTCTGGATACCCTCCGAAGATCGGTTTGTCAATTCTGCGATTTGCAGGTTCTTGGACTTAGATGATAAGAATTTAGTCCCGGCAGAAATAACTAGACAAGACCGCATTAAAATACCTATTGAGAGCTCGTTTGAGTGCGTCATCAACCAATTTTTGCTAGGAGATTTCTCGGATGAAATTGAATTCGACAAGCAAGAAGAACTGGTGGCGGCGCTTACTCAAACAACGGGTGATGGATCCCTCCCTAGAACATACAACCAGGCACTGAAGGACAAAAACACTGCTGATTGGATTTTGGCAATCAAGGAAGAGTTGAAAAACCTACAAGATCTTGGGGTGTGGGATGTGCGACTGGTTCCGGACAATACTCGGGTACTTGGCGCTTGTTGGGTTTTTGCAAAAAAAATCAATGACAAGGGGCAGGTAACATGTTTCAAAGCACAATACGTGGCAAAAGGGTACTCACAAATTGAAGGAGAACATTTTGGCAGTACTTTCGCCCCTACGGCAACTTTCATCTCCATGCGACTGATATTGACAATTGCGGCGAAAAACAATTGGCCAGTACATTCCTTCGACTTCGTGGCAGCATACCTGAACTCACCTATAGACAAAGAAATTTGGGTCAAGGCGCCTAAAGGTCTGGATGTACCGAAGAATTTTGCGTGTCGGCTAAACAAAGCTCTTTATGGTACTCGACAAGCTGCGCGTTGCTGGTGGAAACACCTGAGTGGTATCCTCGAAGGATTAGGCTATCATTCTTCTCAGTACAATACGAGTGTGTATTGCCTGACAGGGGGAAGCGGTGGGGCTATCTGGATTCACGTGGATGATGGCATCATCACAGGGTCAAGCAAAGATCAATTGAGAAACCTGGAGAGTCAACTTAAGGACTCAATCAAGATCAAATGGGCGGCTGGTTTGGATAACATCGTTGGGATTTCTATACAGAGGGACGAAGCTGGCTTTATTTTAAAGCAACCGAACCTGACTAACAAAATCTTGAGTGAGCGCTGGGACGGGATCACAACTGCTAAAACCCCCTTTCCGAACACATCTCTGCCGGAAACCAATCCTGATCCTGTTGGCGAAGACCCTACTACTTATCTATCCATCATTGGTTCTCTATTGTATTTGGCCGTAGCAACACGACCCGATATATCTTTTGCTGTAAACTTCTTAGCACGCTTTTCTTCGAAACCATCAAAGGACCACTGGAAATTTTTAATGCATTTGATTGCCTATCTTGGGTCGACGCGTGATCAGGCGTTGTATCTGAGACCAAGTGCGAAATGTGGCGCGCTATCCTGCTATGTAGACGCGAATTGGGGGGGCGAATTTTCTAGATCATCGCATGGGTTAATCATTTTTTGCTTTGGTTGTCCGATCGCATGGGTTTCAAAAAGACTTGTTACTGTAGCTAGCTCGACGGCTCATGCTGAATACATGGCTATGGGTTTGGTGGTGCGAGAGGCTTTGCGGATCAGGAATCTTCTGTTGGATTTAACGGGTTCTACTTTCATAGCAGATGTATTTTGTGACAATCAAGCTGCCATCAAGATCGGTACTAAGGATGGATCAAACAAACGTACACGCCATACAGATAGGGAATTCTACATCAGCAATTAGGCATACTACAAAGGAAAAATAAATTTGCACTGGGTGGATACAAAGCCTAACTTAACCAAGTCCCCCTATTGGAGGGGGGACGCTGTCCCGCAGGGACCCTCCGCCTCCCTCCGGTCGGCGCAATGCGACAAGTGGTTTACCACTCCGACCAGGAAGGGAAGGGAGTTAGTTAAGTTAGATACAAAGCACCAGTTTGCCGATATTTTTACTAAGAGTCTTTCTCCTTTGTTACACGCTGATCAGTGCTTAAAGGTGACAGGAGGAACTCTGGCGAGAGGGGGGGTGTTGTAGCAAGGAGTAATCCTGATCTTAGGATTGGCAGATTACTCCATACTACCATGTAATACCAGTAACCTGGGTATTACATAAGTCTCGCCGAGAGTCACAGTCTCCTGTAGTAGAATATATAAAGCATGTAACAAAAGCATTTCTATCTTTCTCTCTCTATCGAAATATATCATCCTTTTGTCAGACCATGCTCTTTTACCCTTGGACAGATTTCACTGTTTCCAAGTCCCCCGACGGGGGATTCGCGCGTGAGTATTCGCGAGTTCGAAACAACGCCGGTCGTGTCAATTGCATTAAAGGGAGCTTGGTGATCTTAGATTAACTAACAACCAACATGATGAACTATAGCCATTTCTCTGGAATACGTACAATATCGATCTATTGTTTCATTTCAAGCACTATGGAATTATACGAGTTGCCTCTTCACCTCTATGAAACCGGTGCGTAATGTTACGTACATTAAATGGGTCGGTGGAGGTCGGTGGTCCGTCGATATGACCACGTTTCAATCGGCATCGATCGTCTCATCACAAGATCGGGCTCCGGAGTCCCGGACTCGCTCAGAAATTTGTATTGAACTTGGAGAAATAGCCCCCAGTGGTCATTGCGACGCGAGCCCTTATACCAACAGATGATAATCGGGTTGTTCAAACGAAGCATAGTGTCTCCGTTGTTGCCTTATCACATTTCTATTTATCCAAGTTGTATTGACTCGTCAGCTTAATGTAATATAGCACGGGTCAATTGGTGACCTATACATTCCCCAAGATTAATATTTACCGACCTCTTTCTTGAGTTCATACGACACCTTCCAAAAATCGTCTATCGACTATTACATTAAATCATTTCACTCTTTAGCCATAGTTACACCTCAAAGATAGTATTCCCGGTGGAGTCAAAAGGTATTGCTTATAAAAACACCGACACTTCTCACGATTTTTCCATTCATTGCACCGTCCTTCTTTCATAAGATACACTACTTTTTTATTATTTCATTTTTGAACTGGTTGTCTTCTACCCATAGAAGGAATTTTTACTTTTTCTTGCAGAAGAAATAGCCTGACCTATCTTGAACAAGCATGGCAAGCCAACATAACAAATCTAGCGTTCCGTTCAGCTCCTTGGCATTCAACTCTCTTGACCAAGCTGACGAGTTAGACTGTGCTGATCATCCATTCGAGTCGCCAAACAAACCAAGTAGGTCTGTTCTGTTACTTGAAGTGGTATGAATGATGACTTGCTGACCTTTAAATTGGTAAACAAAGACGAAGTAACACAACTTTGCGCAAATGAGGATCCTAACAACTCAAGCACCGAGCTGGACTCAGACACTGATTACGAATCAGACGCCGATTCGATTCCAAAAACGAACAATTTTGGCCGCAGAAAAACAGATTTTGAAAGCCAATCATCACACTCAGATAATCGTTCTTGCGAAGAAAAGATTTTTCACAAGGACTCGTCTTTTGATAATTGGAAGAATGCGATAGAACAGAAAAGTCCAAGTGTTGCCCCTGAAATCAGTTGGTGGACCACACTTCTCACCTGGTTTACGCCATACAGACAGTTATTTGTCTTAACCTTTGGTTTCAACTTCGCCGGAGCTGTGTCTGTTCTGTCAGGATATTGGCCATGGGCTTTTAGACACTTGACACCCATGGTGGTGGGGAATGTGCTATTTGCCATCGGCATACGCAGCGAATGGGTCCTCCGTTTTCTATATTGGTTCGCTATCAAGACATTTCGTCCAAGGCTCTTTCCACTTTGGCTGAGAGTTAATGTTGTGGGTATTCTTTATCATATCGGTAAGCAAGACATCTTCGCAAAGATGTTTGCATTCAAAAACTTCCTCTGCTTGTTTCTTGAAAGTATGCGAACTCAACTCTCAAGTCTCGGTAAAGAAAATCCGTGTGCCGCGATCAGGCGAAAGAAGACTGATCGGTATCCGCTGACACTCAGCATCTATACTGAGCTTCTGAATTCTTATGCTTTTTTATTGGGCTAGTTTTAAATGAGTACTAACCAATCTATTTTTCTCCTATTGCGATTCAAGGGGGTGTCCACAGCGGATGCGGCCTTTCAGCCCTGCTTTGGCTCAGTGTGGCTTCAAGCGCTTATTTTCAGAATGCATCTCAGCACAGTATCATCACGTTGATTTCCTTGGGGATCTGTCAGGCTTGTTTGTATCTTACTTGCTTGTCAGCCTTTCCTTTTGTACGCGGGCGCCATCACAAGTAAGCTATATCTGTTTGCAAAAATCAAAAAGGCCGTAGTAATGATAACCAAGCTTATAAGACCTTTTTTTTCAATTCAAAAAAGTTTGTTTGAGATCATTCACCGTTTTGTAGGCTGGTGAGACCTTCAGTTTTTAACTTCACCCCTTTGATCCGAAATTACGTAGTTTTCTTGAGTGTTGACAAATAATATGCGCGTCATCAGGATTGGAATTGTATCCACAATAACGTTCGTGATTGTAGAATCTCTGTGGGACGTGGCGGAACATCGCTGGGATTCAAGCGCCTCACGGCTAATCACAAAACCTGAGCTGTGGTTTTTGACAGTGATAGTCATCATGTATGCAAGCCCTTTTTGTTTGTTCCAACTATCTTCAACAAGCATCCCATTTATAACAAGATGTCTACTTTTGTGATTAGAATTCTTTTTTCATGGATCACACTTTCCAAAGTTCCGGTAACGGTTTATACGGTAAGAAGGTTTTGTTGATCAGCTTCTTGTTTTAAGCTGAGAATAATCCGTTTCTTGAACAGAGCTCAGACAAAGCGTCTGTTATCCGAGTGCCCGGCGGTTTGACGTCTGGACTGCATACACGGATATCGGTGGGTGGCTTACGTGAATGGCACATCTTTGGATCAATTAGGTATTCACTGGAGATTAGGATGCTGAGTTTGAAGAATTAATATTGAATTGCGGATTGTGCTTCTTTCTTCATTTTCTAAGCGAGGGGAAACATGCCAAGTATCATTATATTGTAGCTGCAGTGCAGGGCGAATTCACAAAAATGTTGAACGTCGAAAAGCCGGCTACGCTATATACCAAACGTTGGAAGGTTGGTAAAATTAATCTTCTTAAATCGTCACTTCTTCCAGAAACAGGCATTCAAGTAGATGGAATTTTCTTCTTTCAGCCATGTGGTCTGCCTTATTTTTCTAGACTTTTCAAACGTGGAGTAGCCATTTGTACAGGCTCTGGGATCGGAGCGGTTGCCTCAACATGCATACAACACGACACTTGGTTCCTGATCTGGATTGGTCCCAATTTGGAAAGCACCTATGGAAAGGAAATTATGCAACTGATCCATGAGAAGATTCCAGAGAACCGTCGGTTAATATGGGATACACGGGGGCCATTGGGCCGTCCGGATGTTGTAAGGCTACTGAAAGAAACTCACCAGTACTGGGAGGCTGAAGGTGTGTTCATCACCCCACATTTGCGATGTACATCACTTCTTATCCCAAAACCTTGTCTGCATGATTTTTCTACCAGTAACATTGTTTGTCGGAAGTCCGGAGATGAACAGCAATGTCTTGCAGAGCAGTAGAGCCCTCAATATACCAGCATTTGTAAGTAGCATCCTTGCTTTCTTCAATTTTTTCCCCCAGACATCATACACTCAAGTAACTTTTGACATACGAATTGGTGATAGGGTTCTATCTGGGACGCGTGAGGTGATTCTCTGTTTTCAAAGATTGGTTGGCCTTACCAGCAACTTTGACATAAAAGATTGGAGCAGCCGCAGAAGAAGATGATGCTTGAATAGACCCCTTTTTTAAGCTCTCATCAAAGGTAAAATCACAGGATGGATTATTCACTTGGAAGTGCACATTTAAATTGTTTTGTGCCTTGGGTTTCTGAGTGCAGTTTCTTGAAAGCAATAGTAGGGATAAAACTACCCAAGCATTGTGGAACATATTTCAAGCTACATACATCAGTTGAAACTTCTTGCAGGCCAAGATAATTAAAATTTTACTTTCCAACAGGTGTTTGTGGGTATCAGGTGCTAGAAAAATGAAATACTGTTTTTACTAGAAGTTTATGTATAACTTTTCACAGGAATAATGTAACAAGAAGTCCCTCCATTTAGCTCATAATGAATTGGAAGCTTTGAGAGATCAAACACCACAATTCACACCTGGAAGATTTAATATTTTGAAATTTTAGGAAGATGTGATACATAATGTGTTTGTCTTCCATCCCCTTCTGAACAAGTATTTGCCAGGGTAAGTGATTGGTGAGAAGAAATTCTAGGACCCTAGGTTTTGTGCAATCAATTGAGCCTTGAGGTTTGAAATGGTATTCTGTAAGTTTTCCAATCATTTGCAGCAGCTTCGTGGTGGAGAGATGAATAGGCACAAATAATGAAGTGTGGAAATATATGGTCATCCAATACTCTGTATTGAAGCTCACTGCACTAAGAAGGTCAAATGATAACATGGCATCTGATCTGACGATTCTGCTGTTAGCACATCCCCAAAAATCAGTCCATTACACCATGTGGCCGTTAACATTAACAAACAAAAATCTCAACACATGTGGTGATCTCATTGGGACATGTGATGAAGCATGTTTTCTGTCTGTGAGGGGCTCTGCATAGTGCTCACTGAGGATTTGTTGAGCTCGGGGGAGACGGGGGTCCGCTGGGGTCCCCGATCGGGAGGTGTTGTCCATCTTGGGGCTCTTGGGACCCACGATTTGCTGACTATCTCATCTTCGGCGTCAACAACATTATAAATAAGGATCTCCCCTGCACACGAGAGCCTCAGAGTCACCCTGGCCAGTTTAACGCAGACCTAAACATGGCGGCCTCTCACTACATCACTTTAAATGACGGTCAACAGATTCCCCGTATCGCGTATGGCAGCGGTACGGCCTGGTTCCAGGCCACGGGACCAGACGGCGTTTCTTCTGAGCTGGTCGAGGCTACCAGTGCGGCCATCAGCATTGGCTTTAACCACCTCGATGCAGCCAAAGTGTATGGCAATGAGCGAAGCACTGGAGTGGCGATATCCAAGTGCGGCCTGCCACGGGAGAAGCTGTTCATTACTACTAAGGTCTGTCATCCTCTAGCACATCTTCAAAAGAGACCAGTTGCAGGGCGTGATTTTGGGAACTGAAAGTTGCTCCTCGATTCCTCCAGATTATATCGGGTCTATCGTCGGTGAAGGAGACTTTGAAAGAACAATTGCGGGACCTCCAAGTGGAATATGTGGATCTGTATTTGATCCATTCTCCCATGTTCACCAAGGAGGCCGGCGAGCCGACTCTTGCGGAGGCTTGGAAGAAGATGGAAGAAGTGCACGCAGAGGGACTGGCGAAGAGCATCGGCGTCAGCAATTACCGAATCTCAGACCTGCAGGAAATACTCAAGTCGGCTAAAGTCAAGCCGACAGTCAACCAGTTGAGTGATTACTTCAAATTCACGCTCATATCATTCTCGGACTCACGGTGAAGTAATGTCGTCCTAGGATCGAGTTCCATCCATACGTGTGGAAAGAAGCTGAGCCACTGTTGAAATTCATGAAGGAGGAAGCGATCGTACTAGCGGTGAGTAATTGAGACCACCCCACGCCAACTTCAAGCCCGATTCAAGGCTTACTGAAAAAGAGACGACTGTTTGAATAGGCGTATGGACCTCAAGTGCCGGTTGTAAAACTACCAGGAGGTAAGGTGGACCCGATCATCGAACGAATATCCTCCGAACGCAAGATTTCGACGGGCGAAGTGCTCCTGAAGTGGGCCAAAGCTCATGGCGCAATCGTGGTGACCACTAGCTCGAAAGCGGCCCGGATGAAGTCGATGCTCGAGACCGTCCTCGACGACAAGTCGGATCTCTCTCCGGCAGAGGTTCAGGAACTTAATGAGGCTGGAATCGAAAACGGCGTTCAGCGTATCTTCATGAAACACAGTAAGTCAACGATTTTTTTCTATCTTTCTGGTTTATGGATGATAACTCACCAGTCGGTTCCCCTCGTTTCTGTCTATTCTAGTGAGCGATTAGACAAGCCTCCCCACCTCTAAACTCTACCCCAAAGTATCTGTGCAATCTAGAGTGCACACTTTACCGGCTGCCATTGGTTAAGGTGACGTTTCCAGTTGAAAATAATCCTGCAGAATCTTTGCTATAGTACAAATGTAAAATTAAAACATGTGGTGAATGTAATTCACATCTCGTTTTGTTGTGTGTTTATCTAAAAACGTCTTATCCTATTTTGTCCAGCTCGTGAATGCCCGTTTGTGCTTGATTTATTTGTAATTTTCAACGGGACACTGACCTCCACATGCTTTGTAGTTTTTTTCCACGTGATGCTCTATATAAGAATGATGCTGACACAGACAACAAAATTATTGTATCATCGTTGTTTTCAAACAAAGTCTTTTTTTAACTCAAATCAATCTTGGGTTAGTGAGGGGTAGCCCCAGGCCAATCGAAGTCCAAGATCCACGAGTTCTACCGGTCAAAGACAGGCTCCAGTCCAATCAATCCGAGCAAATCTGTGCATATTCATCAAGTAGCACACCATGACCAATAGTGACGGCAAATAATGGATCCGAGAAGTAATTCATCAGTATGATCCTGTGGTCCCCGCATTGACCGGGCAAATGCCTCACACTTGTTATTCACACATCGGACTCGTGAAATCACCTTCTCCGATTCATTGGCTGGTATTCTCGCAGGAAAGATGCTTTCGGAGGCTTGGAGCTGTGCCTGTGAGAGATGGCCGCCGGGCCTTTCTTGCAGTATATCTCCGTCCGCTCCTATCGCGAGCCGTGTAGCAGCAACTCACGGAATGTTTATACATACTGGCTCATAATCTCATGGGCGGGGGAGACATGCCGTTTTGACCTTGCACTGCAAACATTGACGGTTCGGACAGCCAGGCCATCTGCCACAGCAGCAGTCGGGCATACTGTGTCCGACCATTCCCGTATCCTGGGGCCATCGGCTAGTCGGACACTATCTGTCGGTGTCCGGACACAGTCCGTCCGAAGAGTGAGAAATCTTCGGTCCGATGATCGATGATTCATGCCGATAGTGTTTGTCAACCGACATTGCCTGAACTGGCTCGTCCGGCAGACATCTGGTACCTCTGCCTCCATTGGCACTGCTTTAGGACCCGGGCACAAAACTTATTTTACCGGTTATGTAGGCTGTTTGAGTCGCCTATTCATCACAAGCAATAAGCCGAAGAAGTGGTCAAGTTGGATTCTGTAAAGCTCTCCCATGATCATTTAAAGGCCTTTCCGGAAGGACAGACCTTGACAATATTTTCGCACTTACCTAATAGTAAATATATTTTTCATCAAATGCCGGATTTAATATGTATGCTCTAGCACAGTAGTCGGACTCGGGATGATAAGATAACCGCGAAAACATTCTTAGGTAATGTGGTACAAATCTGCGAATCGCGATGCAAAGCGGGCCATGCTGGGCCATGGACACGGATCTACTCGGGTTGCGCCCTTTGACTTTTGCCGTTACTCTGCTTGCCGCCAGCAATGATCTCTGCATGTGTGACTGTGTGGGACCGGGGTGCCTGAACTGGAAGCCGTTGGTCATAAACCAGAGCCTTCTTGAAGCGTTTTTGGTGTTCCTTTCTCCCGTCGGCTCCACTGACATTTTTTTTTGCGGTTGCTTGAGCACCTAACAATAGCGCACACCGTCGGAAGTGTAGGCTCATCTCAATTAACCATTCTTTCCAGTGTTAATCACAGATCCAACTTCATGTCGGCTTCTATTCGTGAAGTAAATGAGGCAGCAGAGTGCGATGAAACCTCGCATACTTTGATTCGTGGTACAAGCGGTATGTCTCTCCCTCCTAGCTTGGAATATTTCAAAGTGCTTAGGGAATGATGAGTGACTGACTGGTGTCAAGCTGATCAACCCACCTCGGATTTCTACTCAACTTTACATTTACTCAGCAATTGACCAAGGCAATGCCGATCCAGCTGGTGTCAATCCTAGAGCTGAATCTCTGCACCAAGCCGAAGGCCAAGCCTGGAATGAAGACGCGGAAACTGTAATAGTTTGCATGCCTACGGAGCAGAATTCCAAACTTGAAGAATACGCCGCGCCGAAAATCAACCGATGGATTACAATTTTGACTTGGTTTACGCCATACAGACAGTTATTCGTCTTGACTTTTCTTATCAATGTCATCGGCGTAGTTTTAGCTTTAGCCAAGATCTGGCCGTGGCCGAAAAATCAAGCAGCACCCTTGGTGGTGGGCAATCTTCTGATAGCCATTGCCATACGCAGCGAATGGGTTCTTCGCTTTCTCTATTGGGTGACGGTCAAGACATTTCGTCCGAAAATATTTCCCCTTTGGCTTAGAGTCAAGATTGTTGGGATTCTTTATCACATTGGTAAGCGTATCTTCGAAAGGATGCTTCTGTTGTTTCTCTGTGGTAAGGCCTTATTTCAGCCTTGAAGCGTCGGAAGAAGTATCTTGTACCGATTTTTTACTGCATACGCATGTAACCTCTATGTCAAATTTCTTATCGTTATAATTCACAAACACTCGGAAATAGCTCAGAAAGATAATGTGGTTTATTCCCTTCATTTTCAAGTGGTTGGACTTTTCCGGGTGAAGTGGTTCCGATCTTAGACTTAGCTGACTAAGTTATTCTCGTTTGGAATCAAATTTTAGGTGGTGTACATAGTGGGTGCGGTTTATCTTCCTTGCTTTGGCTGGCTGTAGCTTCTAGCAATCAATTCCTAGAGGCCAATCTACACCATGCGATTCCCTCGGTTGCCCTGAGCATCTGTCTGGCCTGTACCACCCTCACTTGCTTGTCGGCTTTTCCCTTCATACGCAAACGCCATCACAAGTAAGTTGTATCTAGTTCTCAAAACCCAATAACCCCTCAAGAACCTAACTCACCAGAGCCCGTCTTTTATCTCCAGTCTTTTTGAAATCATTCATCGTTTTGTGGGCTGGTGAGACCCTCTCATTTCGTTGGTCAGTCGTGCGGTCTGTCTAAATTTTGACGAGCAACGCGCACTTTAGGATTGGAATTTTATCCACAGTCCTGTTCGTGATCGTAGTATCTTTGTGGGACGGGATAGAACGTCGCTGGGATTCAAGAGCCTCCAGACTCATCACCAAACCTGAGCTTTGGTTTTTGACAGCAATTTTCATCATGTAAGATTTTTTTTTCGTTTGTCGACTATCTTCAACAAGCATCCTCTTAATAACAGGGCTACTTGGGTGATTAGAATTGTTTTTTCTTGGATCACAATCGCAAAAGTTCCTGTAACGGTTTACACAGTAAGAGTCAACACCTCAGTTAATACCGGCCGGGTGGTTTAGACTGAAAACACTGCGATCCTTCCACAGAAATCAGACAAAGCGTCTGTTATTCGATTTCCCGGCGGTTTGACATCTGGATTGCATACACGCATATCGGTGGGTGGATTGCGTGAATGGCACATTTTTGGATCAATTAGGTATACATTTCGAAATCTACAAAAAATTAACATGGCTCTCAAATTGTCAATGTTGAATTGTGATCCTTGATTATTTCTTCATTTTTCAAGCGAGGGAAGACATGCCGAGTATCATTATATTGTTGCCGCCGTACAAGGCGAATTCACAAAAATGTTAAACGTTGACAAGCCGGCTAAACTATATACAAAACGTTGGAAGGTTGGTCAAATCACCTTGTGAGGAAAATGGCAGATTAATTCGTTCGGAACCAGACGTTCAAGTAAACAAGTTGCTTCTTCCACGTACAGCCATGTGGTCTACCCTATTTCTCCAGGCTTTTTCGAAGGGGACTTGCAATGTGCACAGGCTCTGGGATCGGAGCGGTCGCCTCAACATGCATTCAACACGAAAATTGGTTCCTCATCTGGATTGGCCCGAATTTGGAGAACACCTATGGCGAAGAAATCATGCAACTAATCTGTGGGAAAATCCCTGAGAGTCGACGACTAATATGGGATACTCGGGGGCCATTGGGTCGACCAGATGTTGTACGGCTCCTGCACGATACTTACAAGTATTGGGACGCTGAAGGTGAACTCCTTGGCATATCATAATTGTTTGGAAATGCTGACCATATGTCTTTTTTTATCAGTGACCCTGTTTGTCGGAAGTCCAGAGATGAACAGTAATGTCCTCCAGAGCTGCCGAGCTCTTAAAATACCAGTCTTTGTGGGTTGTCTCTCTGCTTTCTTTGAATTTCTCAAGCAGTCCACAGACTAAAGCAGCTTGTGATGATTGGCAGGGTTCTATCTGGGACGCATGAAGCCTTCACGCAAGTTGCAAAGGTTTCCGAACGCCGTTATCCATAACTACACAAGGACAGGAACCGCCACGCATGGTATTATTGGCACTACATCCTCTTAAAATGCTAGCGAGCACTTGAGGAGTACCATCATGTGAAAGTTGACCGTTGCATGCAGACGTTTCCGCTTTTTTGAATCGGTGCTTTTTTCCTCTTACGATGGTATCGAGTTATTTTGAATTTATTGTGACTAGCAATTTAGACAGCTTGTCTACTGGGGACTTGCGGAGGCACTACGGACGTAAACAAAGACGCAAACGAACTGAAATCAGCATAAAATCCACTGACCCTGTCCAGCTTGAGAAAAAGTCGGGTAACAGAACTTGTAGTGTGCAAATTGAGAGTGCAAGCAGAGGCAAAAGAGTAACATTCATTGGTGCTTTTAATTCCTTCTATCATCTTTCTTTCCATGTTTTTCCCGGAAAATTATTTTCGGGGAAATTGCATTGTTGATCCTGTAAATTGTACCACTTAATTTCAACACAGTACTGCATCATATTTTGTCAAAAAGGGATAACTGCAATTCTGCCTAACTGGGTTTTGGGTTCACTGCAGTGCTTCTGGCAGGCCAGAAAGAGTGGGCCAAATTTTTAACTAAAGCCAACAAAACCAATCTTGCGGATTTTCAGAAGAGTTTTTCTCTGCCAAAATGTGGAACATTGTTGAGTTGGACATGCAGTAAGTGCCTCCCTTTGGTTGTTGACAGGTCAATTCGAGGAGAGAAAGGAAAGGGCCTTGGGGTCATGATGTATCTTGCAAGGTTGCCCTTGAATAGATTTCTATCCAACTAGAATTAACATAATCAATGCAATAAATTACGACTCAGGGTAGTGGTACATAGGTTTCCCAAATTCAGACCTCGGTCGTGACTCAGTTTGACACAGCATGCTACAATATTCCTCCAGGTAATGTCCGGCTTTGTCTTCACTGAAGGACACTCTGAGAGGCCAGTTGCGACAGTTTGGAGTGGACAACGTTGACTTGTATTTGATCCATACTCGCGTATGTTCACACAGGAGAGCAGCGCGCCATTAATACTTGCGAAATTATGGAAGAGTATGGAGGAGGTTCAGGCCGCAGGCTAAAAGTATCGGCATCAGTAAGTATTCCAGATCTGGAGAAAACACTCAAATCTGCCAAAGTGGAGCCGGCACTAAACCAGTCTGTGATCATTTTCAGATCCACACAGATATGGTGGTCGGATTGATGGTTAACCAGTACTCTTTCTTGACATGGGATCGAGTTCCATCCATTCGTTTGGAAAGAACCATTGTTAAGAGGCTTGCGAAAGCATGGGATCGCCTTGGAGTCAAGTGTTTGACAATACCGTGTCCCAACTCTGTAAGCTTCCATAGGCCTCTTAAGTCTCCACAAATACATACGTTTTTTTGAGTCTAGTATCGCGCATGGAATTGCAAGAAAAAGGTTGCTTCTTCTTGAGACTTTGGGGGCATCTTAATCTAATGTAACTACTGACCTAGCTCTCATTGGCGGATTACATTTGCTATAAAAATAATTCTATGGGAGGAATATCAAGACTTGGAAGTTGAATCCGATGGCCATACAAACGTAAACTTTGAGAGATAATATGATGGAGAAGAGTTATCTATAAACAGTGTATAAACATGATTTTTTGACGGTTCAAGTCGAGTGCGAATTATGGATGAATGTTAGTGGTTACTTGAAGTCTAGATAGTTGGATGGCACTACGTGCTGCCTAGTCTTATAAAGTATTTTGAGGGTATTACTCGCGAGGAAGTAAAAATCCGTCCAGCAAGTTATCCAAGAGGAGGGCACCTCTGCGTTTGCTCTGAGGGACGCTAGCACGTGCAATATCCCACAGTCTACAGGTGGGACATTTATCGAATTTGTGGTTGACGGAGCAGTCCTTCCAGATGAGCTGTGGTGTCGGGTCGGAGCAGCTCTTGCAGATGATTTGAGTGCCTTGTCGTAAATTTTGGCATTGATGAAGGTTGCATCCTCTGGTCTCGGGACAATACCTGTGGGCGTCGGTCAGGATGAGATTGCTGGTTTCCCCGCATACGCCGCACGAAACTGGATCAAGGCTCGAGTTGGTGAAGACGACGGCAAAGGCCAAAAGAAATACAACCATCGTCACCCTCCAGCTGGCACGTGACATTATGGATGAAAGATAGACTGGGCAATAAGATCTAAGTTGATGGGTGATAGAGCTCTGATGGGTGTAAAAGCTATCCGGATGGCAGAATCAGATTGGTGGGCAGAGGGCTCCTACAACAGGCGCACTTCTTATATCTCTGCCAGATGGAGTTTGTGTACAACAAAAAGGGTTGGGTTGAAACATTCCCTACGTGCTCAAGCTAGCGGTCCCTCGCAGCGTTTCAACTTGTATCGATTCCAAACAAGACCATGAGACGATTCTACATACGCGCTACAATATTGGAAGCCTCGTCCCTGATGAGTGAAAACAGCTACAACGCATTAGTGAACTGGTGGCAGAAAATTGACAAAGTGTTTGGATCGAGGTGAACAGAACCCCCATCAAGACCTCGACAACTCATACCCATCTTGATAAGTGAGCACAAGCCTTTCAAGTAAGAGTCCGAAGGGCAGTCCGCCAGGTTCTATGGCCGCCAGGTTCTATGGCCAGCGCAATGCGACAGGCCTGAGGCCGCTCCAGCCTAGGAACGCGTAAGGACTAGGAACTTGTCTCAAGTTCGTTCTTGATCTCGTAGTCACAAGGGCAACTTGACTTGATCCATTGTGATACTGGGGAAGGCCTGCCCAATAGCACTGCAAGGAAGTGAAGAGTTGACCGATCCTGAAAATCCTGTTCTATTTATCCTGCAGCTGCCGCTGGAATCCTCAATTCAAGATACCTGAGAAGAAGTGGGGCAAAGCGGTTGGACAAACGGACCACCGATTTCCTATGTCCATCTCAAGATTGCCCACTCAGTTGTTATTAACTGGCTCCTGGAGGATACATAACATGAATAGAAAACATTGGCAGCTTTCAAGCTGCCATAAAACACGACCTTGACAATCCCTAATTATGTGTGAGTAAGGGATGTAATATGTTACAAGCCACCCCGCTACCATTTGAGACTGATGTTAAGAATACAATCTATCTTAGCGCTTTCGCAAACCCCATCATCTGAAGCAGTTGCTAAAACTTGTATGTGTGTACATGGACTATAAAAAAACAACTCCGAAAACCACAATGAAACCACCCACAAGTACATATGTAGTGTATGTATAAGATACAAGAATAAGGAGATATGACAAATTTACGCAGATTGGATACGACTTGTTGAAGAATGACCATTAAAGCTGAAATTGATTGTTGTATGGTTAGGTATGTAAACCGATCAAGAGGAAATTAACAAACTCACAAGGTTTCCGATTTTTTTTTTTTCTTTCATGATTGATTGATACATGAAATGTCTGGAGACAACAGTGTCACAAACACTACCAAGATGGGGCCTGATCAACCAAGAACAGAAAATGTGTGTATGTGTGTGTGTGTGTGTGTGTTTTCAGCTTGGTGAAAGAAGTGGTTTAATTACACAAAAAAATCCGGATAACTTCTGATGTAAAAAAAAAGGAGAGCAAAGAAAGTGTAGGAGGGGGCGGGGGGGGATTAAAATTAACTGATAATTTACACATCCCATAACCACAACAAAAAAAAGAGAGACAAAAAAAAGTAGGGGAGGGGGAGGGGGACAAGACGAAGAGAAGAAAAAAAAAGAAGGAAAGATGATTACTGATCAATTGAGATAAGACCGCCTAAAGACATCAAGCAAGTAAAAAAAAGAAAAGACAGACCTACTAAGTCCGTCGATCCATCCATCAAAACAAACGCAAAAACCAAAAAAAAGAAGATGATGAGGGGTAACCATAATAATACCAAAAAAGGAAGAGTCCAAGAGGGAGAGAGAGAGGGGGAGGAGAGAAGACGAACAGGGCCGGATGGACCCATGGATGGAGAGAATGATTTTCAACCAAAGAAAGAAAGAAAGAGAGAGTTCTCTCAAGAGAAGAAAGACGAAGCAGGATCAGAGAGGCGACGGAGATCTTCTCGAAGGCTTGGCGGCTCTACCGGCACGAGCGGGATCTTGGAGAGGGTTGCGATCCCGTTGCGGACTAGAGTTTGGAGGACGAAAGGTGCGATCCTGATTCCGATGGGAACCAGTTCTACTTCGACTTCGACTTCGACTCCGACTCCGACTTCGACTTCGACTCCGACTCCGGCTCCGATGTCGACTCCGATTCTGAGTCCGAGGATGAGGTCTTGAGTCTGGATCGCTCTGACAACTACTAGGATTACTTGATGACGAAGGGATTGGATGTCGATCTGGCTCACGAGCCTCAGAGGGCCGGTCATCGGCCGCTTTGTAGTCCTGATAATCGGCCGTCGATGATCCCAACGCCCGGTCCTCCGCTCTTCGATGACCCCCCTCTTCTAACATCGTCATCGGCTTCTTCCCTGTCGATGTTGATGCCATAGTTGTTGTTGTTGTTCCTGTCGATGATGGTGGCGGGATCTCGATGCCTTTTCTTGTTAATAACTTGACCATCCAATCCTTCGTAAATGCTTTGATCTTCATCTCCTTTGCTGCACTCATTTCTTCATACATCTCGCTCTGATAATGAGTCGACTTCCGTTCCTTCTCACACAAGATGTTCGTTAACTATCATCATCAACATCACACAATCAATCCAAAACAAATTAGGTTGGGCTTTCCAGCGTTTAGGAGTCTAAGAAATGAAAGAGAAAAAGTAAGTGGACGAACTTCTTTAGCACGTCGTTTGAATTGCTCGTGATCTAAAGAGTCTTTATATCTTGACATAGTATGAACGACGACGTTACTGAACAACCTGAGCATTTTCTTATCTTTGGCGGGGTTATTGATCTCGTTTTTCAAGTCACTGGAGGAGGCTTTTGCAGACCCCCCAGAGGGGAGTTCCTTTGAATTTTTTTTCCTATGATGATGATGATGATGATGATGATTATGATGATGAGAGGAGGAAGATCGAGAAGGGCGGAGTTTATCTTTACGATCGGAGTGCAGGGATTTCAGTCTAGCCTTTTCGGCCTCCTCAGACGCCCGTTGAGCCTCGCTAGCTTTGCGAATTTCCTCAGCCTCAGCCTTAGCTTTCGCGACGATATCTTCGACGTTAGCGGCGGCGGCCTTCTGCCTAGCGATTTGTTCGGCCAGTCGCCGATCCATCAGGGCCACGTCTGCGGCCGTGGGCACGGTCCATTGGGTCTCTCGGATGGCCACATGGTAGTAGTACGGCCTGCCTTCCGCCGTCCGCTCGAACGCCCAATCCGGCGGAAGCGTCAGATTCTCGGGCTTGATCGTCTGCGGGTCTATACGCTTCGCCGCTTCCGGTCTGATGAACGCTTTCTCGGATACTAGCTTCAAGCCACCAATATCCTTCCGAGCATTACTATCTCGCAATCGTTTTGAGAATATTTGGTCTAATAGTGCCTCCGCTTTACGTTTACTACCATCCGCTACCTCTCCATTCTTTTATTCACCATCCCGCAAAGAATATTAACAAAATATGCCCAAGAGTTGTATATATGAATCTAAAGAACTCACTTTTTTATCCTTCGGAATCCGATACGAAACTTCTAAAGCCACCCACATTTTAATTACCTACATACGAAAGAAACCCTCGCATAGAAATGAGAAAACGATGAATTGGAAATGGAACAGATGGAGCGTCGTACCTCAGCAGCCAAAGTCTGAATGACTTCAGAAGGATTATCCGAGAGCTTCATAACAGTCTCTTCGATATTAGTCGACACGATTTTATTCTTAGTGATCAAAGGCCATTTCAACAAAATCTCTAAAATCTAAAAAAAAAAAAAAACAATAATCATCAAAAAAAGTGTGAGGGCGAGAGGGGGGTTTCACTGGGAGGAGTCGAAGTAAATGAACTCACTAACCGTTTGAACAATCTCTTGGTCAGATAGATACTCGTTCAAGATCATACTCATCAAACTAAACCCATGTAATCTCATCAACTGTTTCTGAACAGCCTGATCCGTCGTGATCTTTTGCACGCGCACGAAAAATCCCCGACCAACAAAATCAGCCAGGTTTAAACCTTCTTTTGATCATCAAAAAGTGGGATAAACATACCATTATTCTCCGAAGTAGTTTCGATAGTATCTTTCGATTAGAGGTTGATTGTCGGATGGCTGCAGCCACTTTAGGCACATCTTTGAGCGGGATAGGTTTCATTACCGGCTACCCACAAAAAAAGAGATCGATCACGATCGGATTAGTGTGTGCGTGCGACAAAAAAGAGAGAAAGACAGGGAAAAAGTTATACTGACCATGTAATCAATGTCCATGCTCTTAGACTTCTTCGTCTTACTACCTTTCAAGTTCAAGTTCTCCACATCATCCACAATCCCCAAAGCTATTGAACAAATTGGTCAATGATTAACTATCAGTTCATGTTGTGTTTTTTTTTTGTTTGGGAGTGGAGGGGATGGGAAGGGAAGAGGACGGACCATCGATGTATAGTTCATCCATTGCTCCTAGATCAGTCTGAGTTTTCCCGCCCAGGAAGCCGACGCAATTAGCTTCACCACAGAAACATTCTTGCGCCTCATGACTGAAATCCAAAGACATAAAAGACCAATCAATATCTCTCTTCCTTAATCGTCCTAAGAAGATAAAGGGGGGGGGGGGAAGGAAAGGAAAGAAGACTACTGACCCATAACGATCGACGTTGTAATTAAACGTGAGTTCTTCGCCGCCCCTGACGGCCCGTTTGGTGAAGATGCCCATCCTCAACTGCCGCCCCACGACCCATTTCCCAATATAACAGTTGGGATTACACGAGTGATTGAGGAATCTGCCGAACCCGCCTTTCTTGGTCGCATCTATATACTATTAAAAAAAAACCGCCCCGATCCCAATCCAAAATAAGGGGATAAGTGATGGGAGGATGGATGTGTGGGGGAAGACGGGAAGGGAGAGACGCACTTGGTCTTTCTGTAGCTCCATGAAGTAGAAATGCTTGATCCCTTCTTGGCCGTAATCTTTTAGTCTCTTGTGTAGCGCTTTCACCCCGATCACTTCGCCCAGATACTCATACACGAACGTGTCCCTTTTAATCGACCGACCGAACGGAGAAAGAGAGATATAACAAAAGAGGAGGGGATCTCGGTTATTTATTTTGTTTCTGTTTATTTGGATCGATAAGTGTAAGTGGGATGGTCGACTTGCTTTGGAACATCGGCTTGGAGCCGCATTCCGAACCCTTTCTTGGGGGTCAGAACGATCTCGATCGGCGCATAAAGCCGCTTTTGAAACCTGTTTTTTTTGTGTTCATATACCCGACATTTTAACCACATCGTTTTGGTATGTGGCATAGGGGGAAGGAAACAGACCGTTGGTTTTGGCATTTCTCGCGACATCGACATTGGTCTTGAAGACACTCGATCTGGGTCAAGTAATTGATGCATCCGCTGTGTTCGCTACACGCCCAACTCGGATCGTCGCCTATTATATATCCCCTCGTATATTCTTCTCCTATCAGTTTTTTTTTTCTCTCATTTTTTTAGGGGGGGAAAGAAATGGGAGTGCTGACCAGGGGTCCATGTGCAGTCACAGACCATCGCATCTTCGAGTTGTTTGGTGGTCCCTAGGGACTTATTTTGGTACCAATTCTGGTCGATCTGAGTGAACGTTTCCAAGGCCTTCACAGGGTGAGCGAAATACGAAAGCCGAGGTCAGACTTTTCCTTTTCTTGTTATGAGATGATGAGAGGAAAAAAGATGGGTACTTGATGATTAGCTTGCGGGAGGTCGGAGATCAATTGGACGTGTTCTGGGACCCCATCCTTCTCCTTCCCTTTCGATTTTCGTGGCTTGTTGCTACTTGTTTTGAGAGCCGAAGACGATGCGGAAGGCAGGCAGCTGACGAGCTCTTCGGCAGGCGTGATAGGAGTGATCGATGTGCTTGAGGTGGAGTGTTGTGATTCGGGGGTCTGAGAGAGGATGGTGATCTGTTGTTGTTGTTGGTGTTCCTCTTCGACCAGGATCTTCTTGTTCTCTTGGTTCCTCGATGGTCCTTCTTCTTCCTCCTCGTAGTTCTTCGTCTCCTTCTCCTTCGTCTTCTCCTCCTCGATCTCCATCTTCCTTCTCTTTTGGTTGTGGTTGTGGTTGTGGTTAGTATGCTGGCCAAAAGAATTTGGACTGTCTGACCTTACTTGACTGGATTATGTAAGCAACTCACTCTCGATCGAACTATGTAAGCCACTCCAACCACATTTCCCCTCATACAAATATCTGGAGGGCATCCTCAACCTCTGCTCTCCTACATACATATTTAGAACGCTGCAGAAAATTTTAATCCTGATTCTCTCTGGATATCTTTGAATCGATTTCCAACAAAAAACAAAACCATCCCAAAACGACTTATTCTGATCCAATTTCATCGTCTTGTTTACAGATCATTCCTCTCAATTGGGTCTTACACATAAACTAGCAGTATCTCCAACATAAAAAGGGGAGGCTTCCACTAGTATGGAGGTTTACTTTTCATTGATGCATTATCATAGACAGATAAATTGGACACACAACTACATTCAAATCATCATTTAAGATTAAAACACACACATGCACACATTTAATTAGCAAATCAATGGAAGCACATAAAGGATTGGCTGAACTGATCATGTAAGTCCACTCCAAATCCTAGAGAAAATGCATGCTGGAGATAGATATCATCATTGGTCCCAAAAAGGCACAACAAAACAAAATGACAAGGAGATTTTGAGAGGATGATGAGAGCAGGAGGGAGGGAAACTAGTGAAGAGGATGGTTATAGCAGGAGGAGTTATCAGCGAGAACCGGAAGGGCCGAATTTCGACGCAGCTAAGGCTTTGAACATCGCCATCGTCTCGTCCTCTTTCGACTTCATTGCCTATCCAAAACCATTCATTCCATTAACATCTTCTCTCTCTCTCTCTCTCTCTCTCTCTTTTTTTTTTTCTCTAAAGAAAGAAAGAAAAACAGTTACAAACTTACTGCCACTTTTTCTTGCATCACGAGTTGTTTCTCGACCTTGAAACTAGCATTCTTGCCGGTCCTTCGTTCCTTGGCTCGATCTCTAGCTCTGATTCTAAAGATATGAATTCAAAGATCGGAGTGGAGTGGAGATAAATCATTCGAATACATAAACGTAAAATAAAATATGGACACACGCTTCTTGGAATGAATTATTCGAGCCGAATAAGCTGCGATCGTCGAGTTCAGGGCCGGTTGGGTCGTCCCTCTGGCGCAGATACTCGCCCTGGGCGTCGCGTTTCTCCTTGCGTTTTTCGAGCAGCCGGTCTTTGCCGGTAGCCCTATTGGCAGACTCCTCCTCTTTGTCCTCTTTGCGTTTGCGTTTGGCTTCGTTTTTGCGTAGGATTCGTTCCTGGGCCTCGCCGTCGAGTTCTTGGTCTACTTTGTATTGGTGGTCGGCAAGCGTTGTTGGTGTAGGAGTTGACGAGGAGGAGGAGGAGGAGGGTTGGAGAAGATGGGAGGGGAGACTGGGCCCGATGATCGCCGGCTTGGACGCGCCTGGTCCTTTGTCACCCCCCGGCAAGCTCGGCCCAATGCTCGCTTCTTGTAACGCCTGCCGCGCTTTCTCGCGGTCTAGTGTCGTGGCTCCTTTGAACGTCCATGAATGCGACGAGGTCGCTGCTGAGGATCTCGTCCTCCAATGTGCAGGCGCTTCACTCCAGCGTGCTCCGCATGTTCATTCATCATATCATTTCATTTGATCATCATCATCATCAGCCGTTCAAAGTCGTCTCCGGAACCATCATCGTCGGATTTCGTTATTGAAGGGGAAGGCGGTTTTTTTGTTCGGCGGTCACAGTGAGCACTTTGATCAGTATCATTGAGGCTCAGTTGTTGCTTTCATTAGTCCATGGAGAAAGTCAGATTCACTTACGGTTGTAATAATCTTCATCCAGTTTTCCTTTATTCCAATATCGCACGAATTTCTCAAAGTATCTATACAATCATTCAAATTAGAAACATGTGAGCAGCTTTTTCAAGGGTGTGAAGGAGAGATCAGAAAGAAGGAAGTGATTGAAGATACACACTTTTTAGACTTATGACTATCCAGTTGATCGATGAATTTATTTTTATCATTCTTGAGCCAGACTTTGAATTCCAAAGATTTCAAGAAGAAGTCGTCCTTGGAGATAGGTTGGACGCCGGGTGGAGGCAAGCCGCTAGTTATAGGATTGGAGCCGCGTCGGCGATGCCGAGAACGGGGAGGAGATTCGTGGGCAGAGTCTGCAGCTGAAGAAGACCGCGAACGAGATCGCTTCTTTCCTGGGTTCTGACTAGTGGTGCGAGTCATGTTTCTTGTGGCCAACATGGTCATTTGATCAAGGAAGTTGGAGATTCGAGAATATCTGGTGGCCCACCTGTCAACAGCTCTAATTACCAACAAGGCTGTCAGCCAAATTCCGGCCATTGGGCCCTGGGCCAATGATTATGTAGCCCATATCTTCATGGGCCATTGACTGGGCCCGGCCAACATCAGCCGGTATCTCCGGGCTTGAGTCGCTCACGATCCCAGCGAATCAGCATCCCAGAAGCTTGACCGATCACACCGTCTGCAAACTATCCCCCCGTAGGCATTTTCTTCCTTGGTTCTTGACGCACACCACATCAGCTATGCACAGTATAGACGTTGATTTGTCTGATCTTCCTGCAGATTATTACAATGGATTCCCCACAACAGCGCCAACTTCGCCTTCAGTATGAAGAATTACATTCAAATCACAGCCGTAACGATGATCAGTCGTTCGCGAGATTGCTCCGTGAATCTTCAGGTGTGCCCGATTGACTTCTTCCTCATTTTTTTTTCGCCCTACACGCATCAGCTGATCGATCTCGCTTGCTTGTCGGGCATCAAGTGAGCAAAATAAAGGAATATCTCGATGGGCTCGCTGAAGCTTATAGCCGAGTAGAAATTTATCCCCCACGTGTGCGTAATGCGAAATGGCTTCGATTTCTTCTCAGATATCCTGGAGGCCGGCCTGATCTGGTAGAGACTTACGACTTACAAGAAGGTAGCCACCTGGACCAGAAATTTATCAAGCTCGCCTTCTTTCATCAACATCCGCCTTGGGCTCAGCAAGAAGACTTATCACACCAACGGATGCTCGGTGCACTCCTGGCAGACTCTATTGCCGCAGGAGAGGACCTTCTTGCTGCTGCGGTAATCGACCCCCAGCATGCTGAGATCATCAAGGCTGGTTACCGACACCCATACTTGAGGGATCAAACGATTTCGCAACCGATCCTCAAACGCCTTGACAAGGCTGCTGGAAACTGGTCTCAAACAGACCACCTCGCCCCATTTACCTCCTTAATCGGCCCGAGTATGATTGGAAAGACTCGCTTACTACAACAACTTTCGAAAAGTATCTGCGTTGTATACATCTGTCTGCGCCCACATGGTTCGAGTGGGATGCCCCCGAGGTCTAAACTTGCCGATGCAATGATTCTCGTTCAGAAGAAAGTTCCTGAACTAGAACTGGAATATACACGACTCCTAGCTGCGATTTTCCATGTGGTGGCAGAATTTTTCTCCAGTCAACCAGCCCAGGATGGCGAAACGAAACGACTGACGAGTTGGTTCAAATTTAATGATAAATCTGGGGATGAGTTTGCGTCTAGAGTTGGTGAGAGACTGAAAGAAATTTCGAAAATCCCGACAGACGCTTCCGCCTCGCTTGTTACCAATTTGAAGAAGCTACACAACAGTACACGCTTCATCTGTAATCCGCACCTAAAGGTATTACTAGCCATCGATGAAGCCCGGACGCTTGTAGGGCTAGAAACAAGCGATGATTTGAGGATCTCATACTTTCGAATCTTTTGGCGAGTTCTAGCCACGATACCGAGTTCGCTTGGATTCTTCGCCATCTTTACAGACACCACATCAACCGTCGCAGATTTTAATCCGACTTTGCACAATGATCCCAGTGCAAGACCCCCACCCGGTCGCAAGCCCAAGGAACTATTTGCGCCTATATATGACATTGGCACCTTTGACTCAAAGGTTCCCACATGTCCTCCCAAAACATGGGCCGAATTAATATCACCGCGACGCCTTTTCAGTTACGGTCTCCCATTCTTTCGAATTTATGTCGAGGGAGCAGAGCGCAAAGGGATACCAATGCCTATGATTGTCATGAACCTCAGAGAGATTGCCATTGAAAAATTGCTATGCCTTCCATGTCACCCTCAAGAGCTTTCTGAGGGTCAAATATTTGCTTTGCTGGGTTCTACCATTCAGCCACAGATCTATGAGGCTGCGAAGTTGAATTCTGAGTTGGTTTCAAGTCATCTTGCTCATTGCTTGTACATTTCACCATCTCGCAAAAGAATCATCAGCAAATACCCATCTCAGTTTGCTTTGTCCATGGCGGCTAACGAGTTCCTTGCAAACAAGGAGCATAGATTGATTTCCTGCATCAAGGGTCTCACTGTCATCCTACGACAAGGACTCATCTCCACGGGGAATGCTGGGGAATTGGCTAGTCGAATCATCTTGTTGTGCGCAATGCACAAAGCCATGTCGATCTCCACCGGTCAGGCCGATCTTCCATATGGGTGCTCAGTTCGATTGGCAGATTTCTTATGTGCTCTGACTGGATTGAAAAAAGAAGAGCTGGACCTCGGTGACATAGGAGCTCAGCACAAAAACCGGCTCTTGAACCAAGGTCGAATATTTTGGAACCACTTTGTACAGATTACCTATACACCGAATTCGGCGGATTTTTTGGAATTCATGTACCAAGGTCTGGCAATACAATGCAAGCCCAACCAGCCGGCATTTGACCAACTGTTTACGATCTACCTGAAATCGGGTCCGACAAATTTGGTACTTGAAAAAGACAATATTTCATTTTGCGGTGTACAAGCAAAGAATGGAAAAGGTGACTTCAAGAACAAGGTTCTCAAGTGGACAGATGAGTATGCAGGCATCGAAATCAACCCACAAAATCCATATCTTGTCATTCTCTTCAGCTTCAAAACCAAATATACTAACCAAGAGGCACCAGTGAACCCGAAACGAGGGTCTCTAATTTTCCATGGCCTCGCCGAGATTGACTGCCTGACGGCTGGGATTTCCAACGCCTTGAAAGAACTACTAGCGGTTGAAGCAGACGTTCGGAGCTTCTACAAAGACGCACAGATGAAAAGCTTTGTGGAGACAATTCGCCCCGCCGTATACCCCATACGACACCCCAACTGTGATCTGAGTGAAGATTTGCACTCGAGGGATATTGATTCAGACACTGTTTGCATGGTAGAAGGAGCGGACTCTGAAATGAACGATTGACTGTCCAATCTCAAACTTTTTTTTGCACTCTTTCAACTTGTCTTTTTTCAAGTATTTACTTCATGTCATAGCTTCCAATCACCTGTGTTTTTTTGCATTCTTTGTGCTTCCCTTTGCACATTTCACCCTTCTACAGCTAGAGGGTGCAATAATGGTATGATCTAACACTGCCAGAAAGCTTGAACCAGATGGCTTTACCCTAGCTTGTCACAAGCCCATCCTTTCTCAGGGTTCACTGTTGAGATTGATTGTGCTTGGCACCGTACTGGTTGAACTATCTGCTCAATCCTTGCCCTGGCAGGAAGAGTACTTCCGTTCCTGTATTTCATCAGTCCCCTTCTGAAATACAAACACCACTTTGTTCCAAGCCCATACTTGTGAGACCTGCTCTGTTGGAGACTTCCTCTCAGGTGCTCTAAGCCCCTGATCAGTATGCTTTACTCTTTCTCAGTCTTGGGCCATTGCTCACTTTTCTTTCATACCAGGTATCCCAGTGTGCACATTAATCAACCAGTCACTTCATTCTTGTCAAGGATTTACACCACAGATGGACCCAGTTGAAAAGAAAAAAAAAGGAAAAGACTTCAGGGCCATTGTGCAGGTGGCACCCTTTGTTTTCTTTCCATTTAATATTATGGACACCCAACACAGAGAGATATAGATTCTACTAAGCCATATTGGAAGTTTGGTTTTCTCCAACAAACACTCCTGTCATGGACAACTACCTACTTGAATTGTCTTTAGCCATCAAGATTTCTTCACACACAGAATTTTACAAATGGGAGCTTGATGGACAAACAAACCCCAAGTTTCACATGAATTTTTCTGTTTTATCTTGAAGAGTTCATCAGTAGATTTGTTCCTCCGAGTCCTACCCTTGTTTGCTACTGATCAGAGGTTTGAGAGCTTCACTGGAATATGTGAGGACTGGGACAATCCATTGAAATTGAAAAATTCCTGGTAAAAGACATTGCAATCAGCTTCTGTGACAATCATATTAATAAGATATTGTTTTCCCAATCATACTTATATGATCATGATACCAACGGTGGGCTACTTGTAGTGTTAGTGTAGCGGAATCCCACTAAACTTTAGCATAGCATAGCGGAATTCCTCCACATCTGCACTAACACTAAGCGCATAGGCCCCAAAAAAGGGCCCACTACACTACACTAGCATGCTGGTTAGCAATTTTTTGGCCCTGTAGCGCTGTTATCGCCCTGCAGCGCAGCACAGCGTAGTGTAGCAAAAATCCGCTAAAAATGCTAAAACTACAAATTTTTGGTGCAAAGAATGGAGTTTTGGCAATTGGATCCTTTGGTCCCAAACGGAAGAAAATGGTGTCATTATCATTGGTTTGAAACCAAAGAACAAGCATAGCTGGGTGAGCTGGGTGAGCTGGGTATATGAGCTGGGTGAGCTGAGTGAGCTGGGTAAAAACTGGTTTTGCCAATTTTTTTCATAAAAAAAAACAGCCCTAACCAACCTAAACACTAAACCTAAACCCTAAAACCTAACCCTAAACCTAACCCTAAACCTAACCCCTAACCCTAACCCCCCATTGAATTTCCGACAACTACACCAGGTCCCCAATGGCCCCACAATACCCAGGCAGATGAACAACTACACTGGAACCTGTCCAGGTACTGTGCCTCTCTTGGGCTAACCCTAACCCCCTAAACCTGGCTGCTCTTTGGTTACAAACCAAAGACAATGACACCACTTTCCTCGGTTTGGAACCAAAGAATTTGAGTGACACAGGTGTAAAAGACTTGTCGACTAAACAATTCATGGCGGCTTGTTGAGCATCAAGAAATCCACTTTGTTTCTTTGCCACCTTGGCAATGTTACAATGAGCCTCAGCCATCTTCCTCAGGCTCTGCTGATTTTTTTTGGCAGCTGATTTGTTCACATGGTCAACTTTAGCTTGTTTAAGTACAGTTGGTTGTTGCAGAGGGCCAACAGTCTTGTCACTTGAACAATCATTCCTGCCACTGGTGCTTTCCTCAACCAAACCACCTGTAGTTGAGGAAAAGGAATTGGTTCTAGGAATGTTGGTAGGCGCATGATCTGAGTCCTTCCGTTTGTTGGATGCAGTTGCAGTTGTGGTTGATTGTTTTTACTTCACAAGCCCACGCAAGTAGTCGTTCCATTTTGGTGAGGCAATGAGGATCTCGTAGCAACCTAGCAAATTAAATGGCTTCTTGTAGAGTTTCAAATACATCAACATAGCCATGGTAAGATGGTTGGCTGAATTTGTCCCGCTTGGGTTCAACTGTTGCACTTGATTTACACAGCTGACAAACTTATTGACATCCTTCTAAATCTTGTCGCTCCAGTGATTCTTGAGGCTTTTGGCCGATTGAGGGGCATCAGGGATGTGGGTTGCGTAGTGTCTAGCAATGGCCTCCCAGAAAGCGTTAAACATTTGATTGGTGCCTCTCTTGGGATCTTCACTGATCTTAAGCCAAGAGTTATACAGTTGGATGTCCTCATGTTCAAGGTAGGTTTGCGAGAGGCCTTTTATTCCAAGTTGTCCTCAGCTTCTGTGGTGGTATTGGAACTATTGGTTGCAGTATTGTTGGATTTATTCATGGCAGCTTTCTTGCCTCGTGGATTGGATCCTTTCTTGGGGGGTTGTGGAGCTGGAACAACTGTGATGTCTGATGACAATGTAGTACTGGGATGAGGACCTTGCACAACAGAGATCTCGGATGTTGATATCAGGCTTGGGTCCAGAATAGGTTGGGTTCTGGGTGTTGCCATGGTGAAGAGCTTGGTTGTTTGGTACTTCCAGTTTTCGATATGTATGTAGTTGGCAGGCTATTGTTTCCAGACAAGTAGGGGGTATTGGGGGAGGTGGAGTTGTAGAGGGATTGATGTTTCACAAGGGAAACACAGGAGTGGTGTGTGATCCTTGTTGATTTCAGAGTCCCTAGCCAATCCCTGGATCCAGGGTCTGGAAAGGGACGGAGGAGGAAATCCGTAAAATAAGAACAGGGATGGGGACTGCGGTGGGCAGTGTTTTTTGGGCTGTGGTCCCTAAATGTGGGATAGCTAGGGACCCAATTTAGGGACGGCGGTGGAGATGCTCTAAGTTTGTGAAGTGGTAAAGCTGTCCCTGAAAACTGTTTGATGAACAGCCGGTGAAGAGTGGCAAACTCTATGAAACATTGTAACTCCTTGACGTTATGGGGTTGCACCCATTTGGTGGCTGCAGCTACCTTACCCGGTTCCATTCCCACCTGCTTCTGAGATATTACTAGTCCTAGATACTCTATCTCCAACTTGGATAATTCACACTTTTCTGGGTTTAGAAATAGTTGGTGTTTGTTCAGAGTTTTGAGTATCCCTGTCACTGCTTAGATGTGATTTTCATTTTCTTTACTGTAGATTGGTATGTTGTTGAGTTAGGCTTCAAGTTCTGCATCTCTACCAACCCTCCCCACCATTATGTCCTGGATAAAGTATTGAAAGAAACCAGGAGCACCAGTGGGTCTAAATGGCATTGTCAAGGGGGAAAATTTTCCGGAGTTGAATACAAAAGCTAACTTGTATTTTTGGCCCTCCGCTACCCTAAGATTCCCAGAGTTATTTCACAGGTCTATCTTAGTGAAATGACTAGCATCCAGTATGCTATTGACTAACTCCATTGTTAAAGGTGGTGAATATCACTTCTTGACTGTTACAGTGTTCAGCTTCCGGTAGTTAAAGCACGGTTGTAGATTACCATCGTTCTTCCTAGTGAACAGAGCTGGGGAGGCCCAAGGGGAAGTTTTACTTCCAATTGTGCTGTTGCATAATCCCTCCCTAATTGGTTTCTCTAGCTGTAAGGTTTTGGCTGGCAATAATGGTACAATTTTACTTATCTGAGGTGTCATGCCTGTCACTAGTTCCACTCAAAATTAATACTTTTGCTGAGGAGGGAGTGTCTGGGTGCCCCTCTTTTTGAAAATCTCTAAAAATCAATGGTATGTTTGGGGCACAAGCTCTTCAACCATTGTGGTGAGACCAATCAAAACCCATCAAGGACACTAGGACCCAAGGATCAACTCTTTCTCTGAAAATAGCCACACAATTGGATTCAGAACCTGCACTTTACCCTGGTCAGCCACGCTGTAAAATCCCTCCTCTGTTGGATTGAAGTGTCACAGATTAGAATTCCTTGTAGTTATAATCAATCTTGCTTGAGATCCGTACCTTGCTCCACAGAGAACTGATCCCTCATCTCTCTGAGCCAGGTAAGCTTTTCATTTCTCATCCTCCTTCATCTTTCTTCTCATATCTCAAGACCTGTATGTACATACATCTAGATAGAACTGATCCCTCATCTCTCTGATCCAGGAAATAAAAGCTCCCCCTTAGTTTGGTCTTAGAATTTCTTGACTTTGCTCCCTGTCCCAGCAAGCCTCTCCATCAAGAACAGTGAAGGGATTATCAACCCTTACATACACTCACATATCAAGATATCCCACTCCCTCTTGGAAAACAGCACCTCAAGCCTCTGGACACCACCCCTCTATTCCATCATACAGCCTCAGGACCCCATTACTATCCCCCTCATGCACTCCAAAATCAGACCAATTGAATACTTAGTGCTTGTAAAAATAGACTAACCACCCCTACATAACAACTCACTACTCCTGCAGCAGTGTGCATCCCTCTCTGAATTGTACTATAGTTCACTCCTACTTCTGTACAATTAGGACATCCTCCTCTATAAAATACAAATGTTTATATCTTTAATACATTAGCACATCATTCTTCATTTGTACAGTAGCACATCTTTTTAGTAGGCAGCCAAGGACCATAGTTTCAACAAGATATGAATAATGAAGGCAGCAACAATAACCAAGCTGAGTCAATAGCAAGAGGGTGGTTAGTAATAGTGAGTTGTTGAGAATGAAGAATTTACTTGATTGAGGAAAGTACTCATGATACAATGAAGTGAAGAATATAAAAAATCAACTAGGTTTCAAACAACTGCAGCACACTACTCAGATAAAAGAATGTGATAAATTGAAATAGAGAAAGTGATACAGTAGGAGGTATCACATAGCAGGGTTTGTGATTGAGATTTTCAATTCTTATTTTTTTTGAAAAAAAACTGGTTGGACAATGCTCCATTATTCAATTGACTATTTTGAAAAAATCCAAACCTTTTTGAAAGTGTTGGTTCTTCATTTAACCCCTTTGGGACCCATTGATGCAAAAACTTATTTTTGGAAAAGTGAATGGTTTCAACTTTCCAATGGTGGATTTCTTACATTTGATATCCCCCAGTATGGAGGTACTGAACAGCCACTTTGGCCAAAAAAAATGAAAAATGAAAAACCCAATTTTCAAACAAATATGAGTGATTCCAACCGCCAAGTTGGCCAAGTGGATCGGACATGTATGTCATACACCCTGACAATACATCTCAAACATTCCAATACATACAAACTATGTGATAAGCTCCCTGGAGCCAAAGTACCTACCATCCTCAACACATAACACATACACCACAGCTCTTTGACCGATGAATCAGCTGGCAACCGAGCTCAAGAAACACTCTTCTAACTAACTGCTGACCCTACCAGACCAACCACTTGACACACACCACCCACTCGACACACACCAACCACTCGACACACACCAACCACTCGACACACACCAACAACTCAACACCACCCCACCAGATCTTACTACATACACCAACCATCCATCATGCGTGCCTCAATGCGATCTTTTGGTGACGATTTCGAGGCTGAGGTTTCTCTTCTAGTTGAATCTGGCCTGACAGACGCTGAAATCCGTCAACATATTCAAGACACGCACAGCATATCCGTCTCTAAACGAACACTCACACGAAGGAAGGAAGATTGGGGACTTATACTTCAAGCCACTGAACATTCCAATCAGCTTGAAGACCACATCCAAACCTACTTTGAACGAGGATTGTCATATTCACAAATCCACCATGCTCTAACAACAAGTCACGACTATACTCAATCTTTTCAAACGCTCGAAAGGAAGATCAAATCCATGAACCTGACACGGCGAACTGACAATTTGGACAACAACAAGGTTGACATTGATACGATCGTCTCTTGCATTCAGGAAATTCATCAAACCCCTGAAGGCCGGAACGTTGGTTACTGAAAGATGCGACAATTGTTACAGACAAAATATGGGTTCAACATTCATAAGTGTGTTATGTCTTCTCTGTTATTATAATCCCGTGGAATTATTTCTGATATTTCTTTGTTTGGAATGAAGTCTCACAGTTTCATTGATCAAACGTACCCTTGATCCTGAAGGTGTTGATAACCGATCAAAAAGGGTTTTGAAGCGTCGCGTGTTCAACACCCCCGGCCCGAACTTCATTTGGTCTGCCAATGGCCACGACAAACTCAAGAAGTTTGGGATCACTCTCTATGGTTTTATCGATGCTTGGAGCCGGAAGATTTTGGGAATCTTTGTTCATGTCACCAACAACAACCCCCGACACATTGGATACTACTATCTCGAGCTTGTCAAACGTGAAGGTGGCATACCTCGCCAAACATCTACTGACAGGGGAACCGAAACAATCCACATGGCTGGCCACCAGATCAACCTCACCGAATCGTTCAATGCAGACTGCCCAGATCCGATTCAGTCACACCTGTTCACCAAGAGCACCCACAATCAGAAGATTGAGTGTCTATGGTCGCAGTTAATGAAGCAATACAACAGCGAGCTAATAAACCAACTCTTTCGGGCGGAGGAGGAATCGTACTATGATCCACAAGATCCTGTTGAGCAGTAAGTTTATTTATCCACAGCTTCTCTGGTTTGGTAATAAACTGACTAACATCACATGCATCAAAAGTCTTTTATTTATTTACTTATGGGTTCCACTTCTGCAAGAAAGTCTCGATCAATGGACGAGTAACTATAACAATTACAAACGTCGATGGGACAAGAAGAGCATGCTCCCAACTCGATGTAGTGCAGAATGGTGCTATCAATATCCCTCGGAGGTCGGAGGCGAACAAGGATTGATTCCAGTGCCAATATCTGCTGCCGAGGCCTTACAGCAGGCGTTCTATCCGGAGGGGACAGAATTAATGGAGACGTCTCCCAAATGGTTTGTCAAAGCCATCAAAGAGCTGGAAACCGGGATGCATCTCACAATACCTGTTGTCGACATTCACAACGTTTGGGAGGTGTTCTCTCTTGTTCTTGAAGCTATCCGTTCTTTTGACTCGTCTTGGCTTTCAGACCCTACCAATGACCCTTCTGAATCTTTCTCTCATTGTGCCGCATCCTTTGATGAATAATATGGTTTCTTGGTCTTATTCATGCCTTTGATTCAAAATAACATAATTTCTGAATTTGTTACATAAGTCACTTGGATGCGTTGTCTTGAATGCAAGTATCTGATTGATTATTTGTATTCAATAATCAATTTCAATTTGGGATGGATGATCAAGCAGTGGTAATTTATGTTTAAAATTGAAAATATGGAATTCATATGAAATAAAAGACATCATGATAAGGGGGATGGTAAATAAAGAACACTTTAATTGAAAAGGGTAACTATCAGGGAATCAGGATGGATATTTTTGGGATTTACATAAAGTCTTCTTATGTATCTCTTCAGGAGTAGCATCTTTTAATTTTTTAGCAACATTGGCAAGTCTCCTGTTGATTTGAAAAGAACAACCTTGGTGAGTCCAGGGGCGTTCTGGATCATTTTGAGAAGAAAGGGAAGGAGGAGGAGGAGTTGTACAATGTTC